AAAAAACGCAAACGCAGTGCTGCCGAGCTAAGGAAGAACGCCGTATGAGCCATCAGGCGTTGCCAAATTTCCTTCGATAAACACCGAATTGGCGGGGGAAATTGTGAATGTTTTCTTCCGAAAATTTTCAGAAAATTTCGTGCGCAATTTAATCTAAAATATCTGAAAATTTTAAGGAAAAATGTGCATGAATGTCGTCATGAATACATGTCATATCGAGGGAAATTTGGCAACTCTCGAGAGTTGCCAAATTTCCCTTGATAAAAAATGGATTTTTGACGGCATTTACGCACATTTTTCTTTGAGATCTTCAGCTATTTTAGATTAAATTGTGTACAAAATAGTCTGAAAATTTTGGAAAAAAAATATTCACAATTATCCCAGTAAATTCGGTTTTTATCGAAGGAAACTTGGCAAAGTCTGAAGGCTCATACGGCGTTCTTCCTTAGCATGGCAGTACTCTCCCTTACTAGGGATCCAAAAAAACTTTTTATCAAGATCCTCAGGGGCAGGAAGTGGTCTGTTTCACACGAGAGATCATGGGTGGCGGTAGCCACCTCCGGACAAAGTCTAAACTCGACAACACTGGAAAGCGTCCAAACGAAAAAGGTGTACAGATAACTTGAAAGTCTGAATATCCATGTCTAAGTGCGAAACCACGTGCCTCCATTGCGGTGTTTCAAAATGTCCGCTACTATTATACTTTTCGGGGCGAGAAAAGACAACTTTATACCTTGAAATTTTTACCGAATATCCTGCAAACAGCGAAGAAAAATCTAGGAATTTATCCTAAGAATCCAGAGAGCGCTGTAAAAGCGGTCTTGTGTAGCTTCACTGATAAAACTGCCCCAAAATTATGATGAACACTCGAACAAATCTGATGTTCACTCCTTGCCGTATTTGAACGCAATTGTTATCAATTCAAATAAATTATGATGGATGTTTTGAAATTTTGACCTTCCCCTACAATTTTGATCAATTTAAACAGATTGAGGTGGATCTTTTAAAATTTTGACACCCCCCCCCCCTCCCCCTCAGCAAGGCAAAAATACCTTCTTCAATATTTAACTGCAACAAGACACCTCTTGGGCTGACTGGGGGAAACAAAGGTCAGGATTAAAAAGTTGAATGGCTTTGCAGAGAAGACTCGTGAACTCACTATTAAAGGCTGAAAAGTTGGCTTTTTAAGTTAATTTTGAAATTTTTCTTAAGATTTCCCCAGTAAATTACTAAAGTGCACAATGCAGAATCTCCTTGTGGATGGATAACGAATTAGCCAAACAAAATTGCGATAAACTTCTGAAGTACCTATGTTACAATATTATAATAAGAAGAGCAGGAAAACAGGAAAATTGTAGCAAAATTGCTACATTGTGCTTTTATCGTGTGGTCTCTTAAAATGTTCCTAGGCGCAGCTTACATTTTAGGAGAGGAAGAGCAGAACACGATAAATTTTTACCGATATATTTACCAGACTTTATTGTGCTACTTTCGCAAATGCACCTAGAAAATTATATACGTGTGGACTTGTGATGTTACAGACTACCTGACACATTTCATTTTGTCAAAAGACGAATGGTCATCGTTACTGTTCCGAATTCCATCGGATACATCAGGACTGCTCTTTGAAAATTTCGCGCTTAGACGTCGAAATTAGTTTTTCCAAAAGGAAAATAAAATCTAAAAATCCAAACGAAGGACGACTCATTAAAGTACGTAAATGAAACTGCGTACATCTTGCTCAGATGCCTACCTAATTTTTGGCGATTTCGGGGGCCGACAAAGCTGGAATACATTTAGATACCTAATGCATTTTTCGGAGGTCGCGATAAAAATAAGCGATGCTTTGCTTCATCGGTAAAAATGGCAACGCTGGAATTAAATTAGGGTGAGCCAATCAAAGCTTTCGTAGCAATCGAATGCGACGCAGCGGGTACTAAAAAATCGCCTGGCGGCCTGGATGCAACTATTTTGACTCTATGGACGTCCGTGTAGCATACACACAGATGTACAGGCGTTTTGACTTCAGACACCAACCGCCTCACCAGCGGCACTCATCGTCAGAGGAGCGAGTCAATGAGAAGAGTCGGACGAAATGTTGTAAATGTTTCAATGAAACATTAATCTCATATTGATGTTCATACGGAGCATCGAGGTTTTAGAAGTACATTAATTTCATTGATTTTCTTGTAAAGTTTCCTTTAAGAAACACCCAATACAGTTTATAATGTGACGAAATTAACATCAACATTTGCAGTTCTAGTCGGAAATAGGTATGGAAAGTTTCACTACAAATCATGCTCAGAACATGGAGATGATTTCGCGATCAAAACTGAATCACTACACCTAAATACCCACATCCTACGCCTGTATGCAACTATTTGTGCCTAGAAGACATCTTTGAAGTATTATATTCGAAGAGTTGAAAGTGCTCTGTCATTTTGGTTCCTCGCAGGAAAGCCCGCCGTTGGCGTTGCCGCCACGCCACGAGTAATGTGATGAGTACCTGGACAGTCAAAACGCCTTCATCCCGGTACGTATGCAACACGGACGTCCTTGAGCCCGAATAGTTGCATCCCAGAGTTAAAATGAAAGGACGGTGTTCGTCGTATTCGAGACTGACCATTATGGGTGCTATGCTTGTATCTCTTACGCTGTAACTTAATTCCATCGAAATAATTTTCCAGAGATCCCTCCCCCCCCCCCCCCCCCCAAATAAAAATAATAATAATGATTGGGCGGGTAAATAATTTTGAGACATTGAATGATTTCGATTGAAATGGAGGAGTGCTTCAGAGGCAACTTCTTCTGGGTAATTAAAAAGGGTAGGTAAATGCATCACTTCTCAGTTTTCCCAAAAAAAGAACTGTGGGTGGAAATCGCTGACATCGTTACTGGCTCTATGCAGAAGCCACTGACTAATATTAACTCAAGGAAATGTAGCGGCTGAGTATAAACAGTCCCTGATGAATGTACTATAGATTACATCAGCCTTCCAAAACGAGCATTTAAGTACTTACTCATCATCTCTGGCTAAACTTTTGACAGACTCAGAGATGCAGCAAGTTCTTCACGACAAAAATTAGTTGCGATTTCAACCTCAAAATCTCCTTATTCTAGGATCTAGGACAATGTCCTCACCCTACAATAAGGTTAAGAGCACTCCATGAACTGGAAAGCTTTAGGAATCAGAGCATTACTTAGCTCTCTCTTTGGACTGAAAAAAGTTCTCACTGAAAAGTTTTCTTGTTTGCTCAAAGATTTCCTTATGCCATGTGCAATTACAGGGCCTTTTTGCACCTTTTACAGAGCTCTTGTACACCATGATTAGATTTCTTGAGAGACCACAGTGGCTACAGCCTACGCCAACAATATTTCAGGACCATGAGAGAGAGACATGGGAGGCAACTTAGGAACATCAATCGGTTATGCAAACCATTTACTTAAATGCCATGCAACAAATTGGGAGACAAGATTCATGACTTCATCAATAAAACTTGTGATTTAGACATGATAATGCGTCAATTAAACCTTTCCACTCTTATATTAGACCAGGTCCGCAATTTGAAATTTGCCGTTCCGCTCATATGTCAGACACGAATTAACTCCGAGTTGGAGGGGAGTTTACAGGTCATTTTTTTTTTAGTGGAAAGGGTATTAGGTCATGACCGCGAGTATCAATAGCTTATCTAAGCACAGTTTCCTTCCCGTGGCTTTGAGCAAGTTGTATCTGATCAGGGATCACATTACAGACACTTCATTGATCACGCAATATTTTAAGTGAGATAAAAGGCAGATCATGCACATTGTAAGTTGGTGCAAACCATAGAGTACAGAGAGTCGTAATGAAAGTGGTAGAGCTGAAGCCACTTTTAAGTATTTCCCAGGACCCGATTTCCGAGACTCCTGTGTCACACCAGGTCACTTTTTCGATACATTATTAATTGTTTTCGATACACGTCGACCCGGCCATCCAATGTAAACAAAGAAGATATGAAATACTACATATTCCACTCCGCCAATTTGGATCGAACATGTATCGAAAAAGTGACCAAAGCTCAGCGCACACCACGCTCGGAACTCATCGACCAGAACATGACGCCAGCTCTCCCGTTTACATTACGACTCTATGTACTCAATGGTGCAAACATCAGACATTGCTGGGATGTTGGGTAAGTTCTTTTGATGGTTATGTCTAACAATGTTCGCAATGATGTACGATAAGCAAGCTTCACCTGAACGATAAGGTCTAGATTTCATAGAACTAGGGACTGACCTGTCAAATCTTGGAAAGCCCATGATGATCTTCCCATGAGTCATGTGAGTGACCTAGCATGAGGCTTGGGAAATTCATGTATTTCTCATGAGATTCATATGGTAAGAAATGACTGACCGTACATACTTAGCAGAATAGAATAATCTTGACCTGTGGCTAAACTAGGAGTGACAAAGGGATGAAAACAAAAGAACTCACCGAGGGTACAGTTGCCAGGAGTTAATTCAGAGAATAAGGGTGGTCGCGTGCTGAATTTTGGTAAAACACTGGCACGTTTCACAGCTTCATTTAAGGAGGCCAATTAAAATAACCTTCTGCGACTACGTAAATATGGCAAAATTTCGACACGTTTTCTCATTCAAGACACTCGCGGATGAACATACGTAAACGGCGGCAGATTGTTGCTTCCCTTGAGTAATTAATGTCATACGACGAGCGAACTGGTGATAAAATGATAAAGGCGTGAACTCGTCAAGTTGGAGACAAAAAAACTGCGGATTGCTGTGTGTGAAGTGTGAATGTGTGTACCCGATGCTCGATTCCCGTTGATAAGACGTCATGCGAAAGCTCGGGACAGAGGATTAGGAAAAGAGAGGGAGGATTGCAATGTTTCCGATTCTCATGCGAAGGCAGAAATGGTGACGATTGGGTCACGAACGTCACGAATTTCAAACGAGCCGACCATCAGAGTAGAGATTTTTAGGATAAATTTAGTAGCTCCAAACAAAAATTCACGAAAAAACACTGATAACACTCTGCGCGTAAAAATATGCGTAAAAATTTGTTTTGTTTTTTTTCTCACTTCAATAGGTCAATTGATTCCCGCCAAATTTGATCACGAATAACAACATAACCTAAAATCGTGTCAATACAATCCTTATCACGTGAGATTTTTGCTTTGTTTTCAAGTGATATTTCTGTTAATTTCTTTGTGCACAACATTAGTACTCATAGTTTTTCTCTTGATGTGTCTTTTGCCTTCACTTTGCGCTTGTTCGTTCTAAACTTTTCGAGGAGTGAGGTGGCCTAAGACTTTAGTGTCAGAAATTGAAATTCCATTCCTGATCAAGCGCTTTATTTCCAACCAGTGAGTTTCCTGATGTAGCGTAGGAAACTCCTGATCCTTGAATAGCCGCCCACCTTTAATTCTCATCACAAAACCATCTGTTGTCAAAATGGATTATGATTATGAACCAGACATAGATGCTCCTGACACACCACCAGAAACAGAGGATCCTTCGGCGCTTGATGAGGATCCTGTGGCAATTGATGATGAAGAACCTGAGTCTCCTCAAGAAAATGACAGTGAAATGCAAGTACAGGACTCTGCAGACTTGAACACAGAAGGTAACGATGTAGGTCCAAATTCAGAAGCTGATGCACCCATGAAAGCTGCCGATAAAGTGGAAAAAATAACTCAGCTTCCTTTATCCAAAATGAAGCAAATCATGAAACTGGATCCTGAAGTCTCCCTCGTCAGTCAAGAGGCTGCATTTTTAATCACTAAGGCAACAGAATTATTCATTAACTTCACTGCCAAAGAATGTTATTCATTCACGCTTAGCAAAAAGAAAAAGACAGTTATGATTCAAGATTTAAACAGTGCGGTTGATTCCGATGGTCCTTTATTTTTTTTGCAAGGATGTTTAGAAAACTAATTTTGTAACTGTTTGCAAGTAATTTCTCTTGTATATAACAACGTAGGTTTTTGGGAGATTACAATCAAGAGGGAAATTTCAGCATTTCTACGAAACAAATTTTATGATATGATCACAAGAGATCTGATTTGATATTTGCATACTGTAAATGTTTTTTTCACCTACTGGAAATTGTTATTTTTTACTTTGTAGATTCCTAATTAAAAATAATGTTAGATGTAGAGAAAAGTAAAAAGTCTGTAATATACCTAGTTTCAATCCATGTTCAAATTGTCTCGAGTACTTTTTCCTATATTTGGTTGAAATTTTCCTGGCTCAAGGCCTGATCAGTACTTGTAGATAAAATACAAAGGAAAAATGGAAGCTACCCTAACTTTAATTTTTTGAAGATGGAGAAACCATAGTAGGTATGTACCATGACAAAGTTAAACAGATGATAAAAGAAAAAGAGCAACAGTTAATGTGGCCCAGCTCCCATTGAGCTCTCATTTTGTTGTCTTACGCAGGAAGGAAAGTATCTTGTTTGCTCTTTGAAAGTATCTCCATGAAAATTTTAATTTATTCATAGGAAAACCATCTCAAAAGTCTGTTGGAAAATTTTCAAGTCTTCTCTAATAAGGAAGAAGCATAATTCCTGGAAATTTTAGGCAAATTTTTGTGACCCTTTTTTATTAACAAAATAAAATGTGAAACTGAAACAATGCTATTGAAAGAAGTTCCTTTGTACAGGAGACAACAATTTGTGCTGTCGACCAAAACTGCTTGAATGGAGGACAAATTTCTTATTCATATTGAAGTCAATTCTATCAGCCTGAGCATGAGCAAAGTAATTAGATCACAGTGTTACTTTGTGAATTTTTTCCTTCTTTTTATTAAAATTGACAGGCTACGAATGCAACACTGTAATTTCCCTAAATTGGATAAAATTAAAAACTGCGGAGTGAAATTGTCTCTACAATTTCAAATTGAAAGTATACATTTAAGATTTATTTATTTAATTAAGAATTTATTATTTACTTAAGAATTTGAGGATGAGTTCCTATGGCATACAACAGAGTAAACTTGTTTAAATTAATCTTTGTAGGAAGAAGTAGAGAAAGTCTATAAATTAAAAACACAGGCTAATTTCATCGGGAGAAAAATATATTTTTCTTTTTAAAACTGATGGTACCAATTAGGACCTCCAGTTGGTACAAATTTACGGAATTTTAATTAAGATTATGATCATAAGTGTCAACGCTATCACCACATAATTTTTATTTAATATTGCAGTTTTTGGTAAAAACCTCCTTTGGCTCCTTTTTTTATTTTCTTCAAGCTTTCTCAAGATAGAAAATAGCATTCAGTAAATATAGTTTCAATTTGATTCAAGATATCGATTTCCAAAAATAACTTGAGACAGTATAACATTGAAAAGAGAACACCTAACACAGGTACAAGTAACGAAACATCAAACGCTTTTGACAAAAACTGATGGCGAAAGTCACAAAGCTTGCATTTTGACAGCCAAGTTGATAAATATCCTGCGATTTATTTTAAGATATGAAAAAAAGAAAAAAAAAGAAAAATAGAAAATTTTTAGAAACTTTTGCAGAATATTTTCTAGGAGATGGAAAAAATCAGCTTAGATTTTGAAAAATAGCGTTCATTTGTTTTCTTATTAAAAATAAAACATTAAAAGAAATCTGCAACGTCTTACATTGCAATAAATGCTTTGTGACTTTCACCATCTACGCTCTTTATTGCTTGGGTAACCAACCTAGACCACCTTGACCATCTTCCATGCAGTTTTCATTCAACTTGATTTTGCAAGTGGGAATTTTCCATAAATTTTAATATGGACAAATTTGATTATCTTTTTTTGAAAATCAGTTCAACAATTCTCAATGTGAACTGCTTGCAGTTTGACGCACGTCGAATTAGTGATTTTGTCATGTGCATGAAATTTTCATTACAGAAGCAAAAAGTTCATCCGAGCACGATATTTTCCCATAGAGAAATGCTGTTTGCAGCAACACTTGTTAAACTGCATCTGCGGTTGCCTTTCTGATTGGTCATAACTAGTTTTGCTCCAAACAGCATTTCTCAATGGGGGAATATTGTGCTCGAATGAGCTTTTTGCTTTGGTAATAAAAATTTCACGCACGTGGCAAAATCACTTACTCTATCTAAGTTTTCATCACATCAAATTCTGCTTCACTGCTTACTAAGTAACTATTGCTGGTCAGAGAGTCAAGTTCAGATATAGTTAATTCTTATAGATCAGAGAAAACATCATGACTATCCAAACACTAAGTTTTGAAGTTCATTATTAAAGGATACACTGTCTCTTAAAAAAATATGGTCGTCATCCTGCAGTGTAGTGAAAACCATTGTTGATGATATTCATGACTCAGTTTTTCCTGAGGCTAGAAGTCAACTGCGATCATTAAAATAATTCTGTGATTGGCACAACCGACTCACTAGAGTCAAAGGTGGTAGAACATTGCTTGCACTACAGTCCTTGTATGTTCAAGTGTAAATGGCAGGTCTATTATAAAAATGGACTTGATGTCAATGATAGATAATCCAGAAACGTGATAACTGTAATTTTAAGGACACTTTTTAAAACTAGGCGTTCATTTTTCCTTTTTTCTTCTTCTTTTTAGGACTATTTTGACCAGAGCACAAACTATTTTTTGGAATTTGAGAGGCCATTCTATTATTCTTGTAGAACATATCTATCATCTTACAACCAGATGCTTGTTTAAAAACAGTTCCTGAATCTTTAGAATAAGCGTAGGTCGCAATGTTCGGAATAAGTTCCAGCAATCCATCCCACTGCAGGTTCAGAATTGGTAAAAACATGTCCATTTTGTAAAAGCTATTCCTGAGGAAAAAAAGAAAGAACAACAACTTGAGAAACTGAAATCAGAAGCAAAGTATAAACACACAAAACATTTAGAGAAAAAAATAAGTTTTTTCAAAAAATATGGACGTACTAATGTTTGAGAAAGAGGGAGTATTATTAGGAACCTACTTTTAGTCCGAAAAAACGATGGGATACGTCAAAAGACAGGAGTATAAAAACAGGGCTGGTTCTATCCTTTGGTCAGACCATTTTCAGCGATTCATGAATATTAATTCGGAATCTCATTAGAGAATTTACAGCCGATTGTTATTTTAGGATATGTACAATGGTTGTTTTTCTGAGCTAACTTCAGACTCAGTGCTTCACAACTTCAAGTTGTAATGATTTGTGTCAGCGCTAAACATACAATGAAGAAACATGAAAACTTTCTAGGCCTCTCATTGCATCTTCAATTCAGAAGTCTTAATGTACGCAACATCTGAGTTATTGTGCTTGGTACAGTTTGTTCCCTGCACACAGGATCGTAAAATAACATCTTTCTTGATGAAAAAAATTCCAAAAAATCAAAATGCAGGGCATTATTTACCAAACTTTGCCAGCAGCTTCACATAAGTAACTCTTGAAGTAAAACGTCACAATAATTAACAGTGGAATACACACTCTGACATTCATGGCAATATTTGTCCCTGAATCATACTCGATAGGCCACAGCACAACTCAAAATGATAAAAAGCAACTTTGCGTCTAGGTACTTTCCCTGAGGGAATGAAAGGCTTCACTTGGCCATGTGGATAAGTCTTGAAAAGTGCATAATACAAGTAAAATGCAGAATATTTTATTCAGCAAAACATCATGATTTCTATGACCAAAAATGTTCTTGGAATAGCACTTGTAATGACTGATCGTTTTAAGAGCTAAATAAATTAACATATTCACTAACAGTTGAATCTGGTCATATGGAATAATCGACTGGTTATGTACTTACTTTTTAGTGAAAAAGTCTTTAACAGCTCGTTTCAAGATGCTCAGAGTAGTAAAGGAGTCATCTCCTTGGTTTTGACCAGATTTTGATAACTGTTGCGACGCTCGAATAATGAAACAGTAGTAATCACCTGGGTTGGGTACTGAAAATATAAAAGGGAAAAAAAACGTTAAGAGGTTGAGAACACAACAAAGTAGATATTTGAAAACCCTTAATCATCATGAGATTTAACAAAAAATCTTTAGCAGGATTTAACAAGGGTAAATTCCTGTACATTTGTTTTTCTATTTTCCTTGCGTCAACTGGAAATCTTTGTCTCGAGACAAAAACAAGAATGAAAAATAGGGGCGCTAATGTTTTACACTTAAAATCACATACAGTCAAAAATTCAAATATTAAAATAGCTCCCTGAATAAGATAAACACTTTTCTTGAACAGGAAATGTAACCGATTTAAAATAGGGAACAGACAGGTACTTTCGCAATTTTTAAAATGAAAAATGGATGGGGAACATAATATTAGTTCGTCAATTATCTGATGCAACTCAAAGACTTTGCTGACTCAACACACTTGGCAATCGTCAAAATAAAGTTACAAAACAGTCCAAAAACATTGTTGAAACATTAATTTTGGCACTAACGCTGTGATAATGTTCGCACCACTTTTTACTAAGCTGAGAAGGAAGGTCTTATCATCTGAGATATCTTTTTTTCTATCATGAAACAGTTGGGTTTACAGTTTGAGTCAATCATTTTTTGGAGTTCTGGCCACATCAAAATTCAAACTTTTTCAAGATTTTACATAATTAAGGATGTCTCTAGCTGAATTCTCCAGCTATCAAGAGGTAGTAAATTTTAGATGCATGCATCTCATCAAGGAGGAAAAGACCCCTTAAAATTATTATACATAATTGCAATGACATATTGATACTCACAAATATTATGCCTTTCCAAAAGTGCTTCAAGAGTACTAGCCAGATAGGCTTCTTCGACATCAGCAAAATTGCTAAATTTCTTCAGATTGACTATATTTTTCAAACAAGAGACGACTCTTTTACTTAAAGCCTCTTGAAGTTTATCCACTTTACTTGATTCATACAGCATAACTAGTGTGTTCAGAATATTCACAGCTGCAAAGAGTGAGGGATTCTCATCTATTATCGTCTCGAGTAAATCTAAAATCCTATAACACCAAAAACAATCATAGACTAATTATATATCAATGTTTTTAATTTACAGTAGGATTTAACACAAAACCTCTACCACGGAAACCAACACAAAAACTGCTCAGTGATCAAATTGACAGAGATACGAGTAAGAATGCAATTTACACATCTGCATGAGCTTGGGCAATGATTTACCCTGTTACCCTACAACAAACAAGAAATCAATTCATGTAAAGAGTAGGTATCATTCTTTTGCTGAACACTATCCAAGAGATAGTTCGTGTCATACTTCGAAAATACAAATTAATTCGTCAAATCATGAGATTAGATCCATTGAGCCAATTTTTTTTTCACTTCATCATTCAAAAGTATTAGATAAATTGAGCGCATAGTAATTCTTCAAATTTTTTTCTATTATTGCAACCCTGAAAAACTGCCTTAAAACACTGAAAAAATTAGGGCAGCTAGAATCATATGTTGAATTGCATGCTTTTAAATTAAAAAATTTAGCAGATCTGGTCATGGTTAATAAGATGTAGCAGTGGAATCTACTACGGCAAGATTTGCACTGGAATGACAGAGTGTCGTTGTTCACCTTGAGATTTGAACATAGATGTCTCCAGCTCAGCTTGTTCTTAAATTTATTGCTGTATTTACCTGAATCATGAATTAAGGTTTAAACATCTGTAATACAATAAAAAGTTGGCGAACAATGAAATGTGGGGAAAATAACATCAGGGCATTGCAAGTATAGGATCAAGAAAACAGGATATTTTACCTCATCCGATAATGAGAAACAGCCCTGTCTTCAGGAGATTGAACTTTTTTCTTCTTTTTCCGGGAGGGTTTTCGGAACAGTTTGAAAACTTGTCCCAGTCTTTCATCCAGTAAATCACCCGTCTCTTCGTCTAAATCATCCAAGTCAATTGATTCCTAATATGTAAAGCCAAAAATAATTCTGCTTAGAAAACTCAAGGAAAGAATTTTACAATAAAAATAAAATTTCTAACTTGTGGCGTCGTCAGTTAGTATACGTAACATTTCAAGGATATCTAAGTACATATTATAATCAAAATGCCTAAGCAGATAATCAAATTTTGATGGGTTTCATTATGAAGTCTTGTTTTTTTGACGAAGAGCTCTAGAGTTTCCAATGTTTTGAATGCAAAAATTCCTCAAATCTACAAACTCTTTGCATTTTCCTCTTCAAGTGCTCCTTATATTTTATAACTATCAACGTTTTAAAAATTTTTGTATAATATGACATATGTACTGAAAATTGCGAAATAAAACTTGTTTAAGGACTAAATCTGATTTATTTACAATTGCATGATGATGCCAATTTTTGCGGAAACTTTTTTCTAGATGAACAAATGATTATTTTGTCTAGAACTAGGAAAATAATCAGAATTCCTGTGTAAGTTAGAACATTTGAGAAAATGCCTGATTCAACTATTGACCTTCAAACTTCCTACTTATTTGAATTTTATCAATAAATTCCTGGCAATCATTTTTTCTCAGCCTCCTCAATTTCTACTTCACTACCTAGGCTTCAAGATTTCTTTCCAGATCTTCCTGAAAAGGCAAACTTGGTGTTACTTTCTTGTGCAAAAAATCTTCGGATAAATAGGTATCAAGACATCAAGACGCATAAAATAGCAATACATCGCAAATAATTACCGTATCAGTGTAGTTAGCATTATCTCCCAGAGCTGCATTCATTGCTTGCCTCAATCGATCAGTTTCCGTTTCTTTGTTGACGCCATCTTCTTCCTCACTCATTGAATCGTCATCACTAGTATCAGAATCATCATCTTTGTCTTCAACTTCATCTTCATCCTCTTCTCCATTCTCTTGCTTCTTTCCTTTGATTTTCTTACTTTTACTAGGAGCTTTGGGCTCTTCTGCTTCTGATTCGCTGCTTGAGCTTTCTTCGTCTAGTTCGCCGTCATCTTCAGGATCTAGAATCTGCAGGGAAGAACCAAAAGAGAACATTACAGGATTAAGGGAATGACGATGATGGACTGATGAGCAAAGCGATTACGAATCAAATAGAAAGAGATTCCTTGGCAGTCTTAGACTATTTAGAATAGCACTCAACTCCCAAAGCATATCTTGTGGAGCACACTTTTTATCTTCTCTCAAAATGTTGTGCAAATATAAAATTAAGTACGGTCATAAAGTATCAGCCACAAACTACAATGATATGGTTTCTTTGATCTATACTCACCTGCAACAAACAGTTTGATAACAATGCAAGGAACACAGCACTTCTCAAACCTCAGGGAAAAGAAATAAGAGGGAAGCTGAGTATCTTCTCCAATTTGGATAGTCAATCACCTGTCTCTGCGATGATAGGCAATTGGACGATTTGACTGCTCCTAGCCTGCAGAGAGGCATCACAATCTCGCGATGGCAAATGCATGCATTCCTACTAAATGCACAATCTTTCACTTGAATATTTAAAGTTACGACTATTTGGTCAAGTGAGTTCGAAAATTCGAGGTTTGAAACAGAATTTTGAGGCAAAACAGGGAATTCTTGCCTGAAAATTGCGGAGTCTCGACCAACTGTCACATAAAATTTAGTTATAATTGAATGAAAGAATTAAATTAGTCTTCTATAATTATAATTTAATGATTAAATTCTCTTGAGGTAGCTGGAAAAGCCAGGATGTATTCAATATACCTGAGAGTTTGTTAAAAAGGAGTTTATTGTACACATGTTTAACTCTATTAGACGAAAACTTTTTGACAGAAAAGAATGTTACATATTGCTACCTTAAAAATTATACTTGTGAGAATCAGAAAATGAAGATGCATTTGCAGTTCATACCTCTGATCTACATGTTATTCTAGTCTTTTACCCTTGTGCAAAACTAAAAAAATGATACTTACTTTCAAAATTCTTACAAGCGTGTCAGGTTTAAGTTGGCCGCTTATTGACGCAAAAATTTTGTTCACCATTTGCCTCACTTGAACACTTTCTAATGACAGGAGGTCCAACAGGAGACTTACAAATGCATCTAGCATGTCACTTCCCACCAATGATTTTGCCTTCAGTAAGTCATAATAGTCATTCAGTTTCTGAAAAATAAAAAATTAAATGAATGAAACAAGGCATCCTGCCTGATGATCTCTGGGAGGATAGGGGGCAATGGCGATTGGGCGTCGCAGAGCGCGAGGCGGCGCTATAAAAGCGACTTTATGTATGTATGTATGTGTAACAAGGCATCCACTTCTTCTGAAGTAGGCATACATTGAGATTGAGAGGGATTTTTAATTTCAAAATGTGAAGACAGATTCCAATAAGTGAATACAATTTCTTTCTCCTTGTAAATTGATAAAGACAGACTTTTTGAAAATCATTGCTCATACATACGTAACTTTGTAGATCCCTGGATGGCGATGGCCTGAATTTTACTTTAGTCAAAGGTATTGAATGGTTAAAGCGAGAAATGATTCAATTCCACAGATTTAAACGTATTTTTGAGAGATTTATAGAGGTAGATTAAGGGCAACGATTCAAAACAGATAAGTTCATCCCTCTGCAAAATTATCTAGGGATTTTACCATACCTTTGTTCTGACAAACCCACGATTTAATTATTACCTGAATGGCCTCAACAGCAAGAGAATTTTTAGAAAATAAGAGAAAAGCCAGCTGCAAACTCAGAGACAAACACACAATGTCCGCCAGGTCATCAGTGTCTGATTTACTAATCTTCTTTTCTAGACTTTTTGATTTCTCCAGAATGGCGTTCCAAACAGGCTGTTCCTGAACAAATGAAAAAGACATTATTGTTCAACTTAAGGAAATCATAGATTACATTTTCACCCGGGAAAACAAATAAGTGAAACCTTCTTTTCTCCATCATTTTGTACAATTTTTATAACTTTCTGTTTAAATTTTTCGAATTTAAATTGTTTTACAATTTTAAAACCTGTGATTTTTCTTGAAAAATTCAAATACTCCTAAAATTTGCTCAGCGTTAATTCAAATAGAAAACGAAACTTCTTTACCAAAATTTCAGAGACTTCTGTCCATAAAAAAAAAAAAAAGGCTGGGAAGTTTATTTCCAAGCCTTGCTTTACTTAGAAAGTCATTGAAAATATCTTTCACAAGTAAAACATTCAAGCAGCATCATTTCTATGCATTCTGAAGCTGCAGTTCCACTTAAATTGATGAATAATAACTTAGATTTAGAGGTAAGGAATTTTGCTTCCTTAATCAAAATTTTGCTTCTTTAATCAAAATTTTCATCACTTACATTACTTGAAAGTGGGGTATGTAGATTGCCCTTCTTAATTTCACTATCCATGAACTTTGCGAGAACAAGGAGGACTTTATAGTGCTCATTGGCTGATGTTGGTTTTGGCAGAGCAGCGTAGAACAAATGTTTGAGCTCATCTCGAAAGTGGTCTTCAGCAGCTTTCCCTGACACTTTGCACACTGCAGTGGAGAGAACGCACTGCAGCTGCTTTGCCTGCCAGTCAATATCTTCACTGCAGCTTTTGAAACTGGACATTCTGAAATTATGAAAACCAATAATTAAAGCGGATGAGAGAGCAAGGTCTCACACAAGTATGACTCCCAATGTGGGATATTCATTGCTCTGAGCCAAAAACAGTGCTACCCACTCCAACATTGATTAAACACATTTTGAAACAATTTGGATACCTTGATTTTGTCCTGATACAAAATAGATGGGACCTGTAGAAAAAAAACCGGCAAACCGCAGACTTCAGTAACTTGCACGTCCAGTATATTCAGTGTTTACTGTTGTTCTTTCAAATGTACTGGAATTAATTTTTCTCAATATAAGCTGATAGGAAATCGATTGTGAAAACATAATACAACTTATCCTTAAGTTAGGGTGTCTACAGACCTGGGAAGAGGGAAATTCCTAGATAAAAATGATCAAAATTTCCCTGACTTTTTACATGAACAATTTGCAGGCATAGAACTGAAAACGATTTTGGCATTAATTTTACTGTTAATGACAGGGGGACCTCCAAGACCTCCGCCAACCAATGAGAGATCATTCTTACTTATCTCCTCATAAAACACTACCCAAGTGTGAGGAATATTTTTTAAGGCACAAACATAATGATACGGCTCAGTGACTTGGAAGTAAATTTGTAAAAACAATTTTTTTTAAAAAAAAATAAGAGCTGAAAAAACCGCTCTGGCTCCCTGACTTTGCTTGTCTGTCCGTTGTTCAGTTAGTAGGGCTGCTCAGTTGGCTGGGGACATTTTGAGTTTGCCCTGAAGCATCACTCCCATGTTAGGATAAGGACACGGGAGAGCAAAAATGTCAACGACTCATTGCCACATAAATAGTTTATTCCACCGCCATGCACAACAATAGAAGCGAGAACACTATGAGCACTTAAACAATCTCAATCCCGTAGAGACGTAACCAGTCAAAAAAAGAAAACTAAAATATGTAATAAAAAAATGATGGCCGAGCGATGTGAGCTTGGGGCTCCTCAACAGCAAAAAGCAACGAATCCTTCCTTCGCTCACTCACCTGACGTTGCTCCCCCGTCCAGTGATCAGCCGAGAGATTCGCTCCTCTGATTGGCCAGCGGAATTTCTGGAGTGATGCCTCAGGGCTAATTCAAAATTTCCCCAGCCAACAGAACAGTCCTACCAACTGAACAACAGAGAGGCAAGTAAAGTCAGGGAGCCAGTCGCTGTGCTCAACAGGTCCGAATTTTTTTAACTCAGATTGTCATAACTTCCTCAAGTTTTCGACCAAATGAGTTGATTTTTAGTTGATCTTCAAGAATAGACCTCACTGGTGACCTCACAGTGAGCTATTCTTTAAGAGTAGAAGCTCACTTTATGTGTGCAATTTTTGCAGCTCTTATTCTTGGGGGGACAAAAATTGTTTTTCGGTTTTTACAAATTTACTTCCAAGACTGAAAGCCACATTACAATTTTTGGGCTTAATTCTTGGTACATAGAATCAGTCCTCGTACTTTTTAGGCAGCCTATGTAATTGTTCTTTTGTTGCATGCAAGGAATGTACTACAGTAAGCATGAATAAAGTAGAATCTGACTCACTTCAACAGAATCGTGGCTGCATTCAGTCTTGTTTTGGATGACCATGTGGTTTTCACAATTCGACCATTCACAGTTTTTTCAGACAATCCATGCAATACGTTTTGATAGGATTTTGCTAACTTTTTTGCATGTTTCTCCTTTAAAAGCACTGCGAGTGTGACGAAAAACTGGGAGCCTGATGGTAAGAAATAAAACAGGGTAAATTTTTGAGACATCTTACTTTAAATTAATAACTACAATGTTCAACTAAAGTTAATGTTTTTGAGAGTGCTATTTGATACTGATCCAGTCAAATACGTGCATTATCAAAGCTGAAAAGGTATGCCCAAGCATTTCCTTGCTCAAAGCCTCAATCTCTTGAAGTAGAAGGGGACAACAAGAACAAGGATGGTGGCAATACATGTAAGAAAGGTTCTTACTCTTGGTAACTGCAGGACTGAATAGACTATAATGAAAAAGATGCATCTAAAAACCAGATAATGTTTTTCTTCTAATATTCTTCTTTTTTTTTCACTTGTTTTTTTGCCAAAAATATGAAGTTCCCAAAATACATGGGGTGGCAAAATATGTGGGAATCTTAAAACGGTACCTCAATTTGATGAACAAAGATTTATAAATGTTATATCCAATACTCATTTCAACATACCACTTTTACTATCGACAAAAGGATTTTTTGGATCTTCTGAGAGAGCCTGAAGATTATTGAATAAAGTCTTTTCATTAAATTTTTCCGCATTATTCTTGATGTAATTTGAAAAAGTCAGTAAAAATTTTTTGATGATAGGAGAGGCACCATCTTGAGTCATCGCTTTTACAAAATGTGTAGATAAGAATACTAGTACCTGAAAACAAGACCATAAAAATAAATCACTTTAGTTTTAGTTGGCACATGAATGCGACGATATTCAATCGTCTATCGTAAAAAAATGCATCTCGGCTAATAGAGGATAGACAATTTCAGAGGACGATTTTGATAGTCGATATGGGCCAGCTTCTGTCTGTAAAATCAGATTCTTGATTAATTTCACCCGCCTATACTGAATTAGTAAATTTAACTTATTCTGAGCAGCAAGCCTAGTAAAACAAAGGCTGGAGCAAAAAGAAGAGATATTCCTTCCAGGAAAATTCTTAAAATCAAAATGAGCACATGATCAAAGTCTATTTTCCACTCCTTGACTTGAAAAATAGATGTGAAAAATAAATTAGCACTATTTTAAAGTGGAACTACCCACTTATTAGCTATCAATCAACAAATGATCTACTTTAGGATAAGTTTTGCCATTGACTGAAGAATGTGAGCAGACTAAAAGCAAAAACATGCGTATTTTGATTGCAATGTTAAAAAATCTTCCATTATATTATATGTTTTTTTGAGGAAGACCAATCAAAATATTTCCTTGCATGGCTCTTGGCGGCAGCAGAAGGTATGCAAAAAGATCTGTTTTAACTCCCTTTTTCACCATAATTTTCAAATCATTTAGATGAAAAATTCGACGTTTCGCGAATTGTTAAAGCAGCCGTATTTATACATGTGTATTTGACATAGGGCAAACCTGAGTATATACCATGTGACGTCACAATGTCACCAGACATCATAGTGCGACCGTAATTTTTTTTTAAAAATACCTCATTTCTCAGTAGACCTCAAAGTTTTCGAAACTGGATTGTTTTTTTTTTTTTTTTTTTACTACTTCAAATAACCCTCAAGGGCTAATCCCACGCTTTAAGTCCCATCCCCTCTCCGTCCCTACTGAACCAGTCCCACATGATTAAAAACATTCATGCAACCAACCCGTTAAGTGATTTTTTTTCTCTTTTGGGAATGAGTAAGAAACTTCACAGATAATTTCAGTAGGAACTGTAGGTTAGTTTTCCTATGAAGAATACACCATGAGCAGAGACTTACAACGTTGCAATCTGAGATTTGAATTTTTCAACTTTAACCATTGACACATAATCAAAGGAGAGCTTAAGTTACCAATAATGTCTCAATGTTTGTGATTAATTTAAAAAATTAGCCAAACAACATAAAGTTATACAAACCAAGGAAGGATTTTTCAGATGCTCCATGAAATGTTTGACAAAAAGAAAGGGAGTCTCATTGTTCTCAAAATGAGCTTTAAATCCTTTTTCAATACCATCATTCCAGAATGCGCACAGAAGCTCCTCAGCATTGCTTTTAATGGAAATGAATTCAGACAGTAAATTCAAGAAAGCTTTTAGTGTTTCTGACATAGGAATAACCTAAAGAAGAGAAAGAAAAAAATTAGCGAAACAGAATACTTTTGTGGATTGAATGCTGCTCTGAAATGGCGTAAAAACGGAGGAAAAAAGTAGACTGTATTGAGAATACAAATTTGTATCAAAACTAAAATTAGGATTTTTTTTTACATTAGAATATAATGAACAACTAAACAAGGTGCAAATTCAAGCAATTTGATCCATATTTCCTTATCAAAATTTCACATGGAACAAGATTTCTGCAGCGAAAATTTTTAAAAGTAACTCCTAATCGAGATATTAAAATTTTCGATGCATAAATTCAAACTTCCTGCTCCCAAAGAAAACTATAATTTACTTACGTGAAAAGTAAGATAAGACATATTAAAAGTTACTACGACAGTCTCTGAGGTGTGAGAATGTGGCAATCTCAATCTCAGTGCTCCAACTCAGCTGTCGTGCACAGTTTCCACTTTGAACAACAAATGGCAAGAACAGAAAACTGCTCAATTAAGGAGCCTAGCAAAACTGATGTAGTACGCGATTTGATTCACTTAGACTCTCGTTTTTCTTGTGAGCAGGGAATTCAATTTTTTCAAGACTGGTGCTGCATAGAAACGTTCAGATCTTGATTAATAGTTAATTTCAGTAGTTTTCAATATGCAAAACTGTGTTCCACATGAAATTTCAAGGGTAGACATGTGCCAGAACACTTCATTTTGAACTTTATCTGATGGTTTAATAGCCTCCATCATTGCGGCATTCTTGTCTTCTCAATAGTTATGGCTTTGAAAAGGTAAAAATAAAAAATTTTTAAGTGATCAATGTTTAAAAAAAACACTACCATAATTGAAACATTCTTCTTCTTTTCAGCTAAGCAGAACTTGCCCCTAATTACTGCGTCTAGAAAGTCTGGGGAATATACCTGAGTCCACAACTCTTTGTTGAGCCCAAAATTACCTTTAGAATAAAAATTATTATGTAGTCAAAAAATCTACTGAGAGTATTTCGTGAAATTTGATTGATATTGAGCTTGGAGTCAGTAAATATTTCAAGAACTTACAGCGAGTTTCCGGGCAATAACTGGCATTGTTTCAACATTCAGAAGAAAAGAAAGATCCACTCTGGCCTGAACTATTTCTGGAAACCTTTTGTTACTCAACAAAATACAAGAAAGCGACTCAATGCAGTGTTTTGAGATTTCTTCATTGCAATAAGATTCCAAAAGTGGCCAATACATATGCTCAAAATGTGCAGCATCAACCTGAAACAGAGACAGAAATGATTAGATGAAAAAAATATTTTTCTACTTCATTATTTTTACAGCATTTTTAGATGTGTATCGATTATAAAATTATACCTCCCCCCCCCCCAAAAAAAAAGAGATAACAGGATAAATAAAAAATAAATGCGCACTGAAAAATTGAAAAACTCAAACCGATAAACTAGACACTGGAGCGTTTCAAGAATTTAAGCCAGGAGGAAGGGACTGGGGGTCCTGAAATATGTAGATGTATACTTAAATTAATTTTGTGGGTTCAAGTTTTACAATTTTCTGACTCTTCTCTCTTTATATCTAGTATACCAATGGCCAAAATGTGAAACCGCATATCTTTCTTTGCGACATTGCAGACTTCCTGTCATACTTACATTTTTCTTCAAAGAAATAGTTAACATAATTTCTTAAAAACATTCTTGGTTTTTCCTATCTGTTAGCAGAATATTCTAGAGAAGTTTCAAGCTGAGTGAAGTTGGCTTGTTTTTCGTCGAAAAAGTAATATAAGAGCGAAAATTTTGAGACACCACAATGAAGATGCTAGATTTTGCACTTGGCTATCGATATGTTTTTGGTCAACAGGGAGAGTTCCTCTTACCTCGCCACGCATCCGCCAGAGGAAAAAAAAAGATGCTTTGCCGCCATCACTTTAGAACTTAGATACTGCGTATAAGAAACAGCATCGAAGCCTTCATCAGAGAATGCAAGTAAAAATGTTCAACACCAAAAAAAAATCAACGCCACGCGGAGAGGCATCATTCCATTCCCTTCTTGCAAAGAAGATATGATTATGGCTGATATTTAGTCACTTAATGAGGAAAAATGCATGAGTGTAAACTATTTCCAAACCAACCTTTTGTATCAGATCCAACAAAAATGAGAATGTCAGTGGCACAAAATAACTTTTCCTTCTGGACAAGGATAAGAGAGTTTCCAAGATCTTTTCTTGTTGTTCTTCCACGCATCTTTCAAAAAGGCCAGACCGAATAATAGCACCATACACCAAAATTCTAGCTGATATTACATCACTCTTTTCCTGAAAAAAGATGCACAAAATATAATAAGAAGACTTAGAAATATTCCACAGCATGTAAGAGAGGAGAAACAATAAAGAAAATTATTTTAGTAGAAATTGACAAAAGGACACCAGAAAAAACACCTTCTAGATTCTGCCACTTAAGTACTTTATGATCCTGGGATATTTATAAACCTGATGCAATTGACACCAATCCCATGAAAGAAATTATTTCTATAAATGCACCTTTCTTATCTAAACATTGAATTTAAAAGAGCCTTCATTTTGGATAACTGACTTAAAATATCTTGTTTCTCACATTTTATGCGCTTTGAGGTTTTTAGTATGGTCAGAGATGTTTAAACATTTGCATCTATTATTGAATGATTGGATGACTTTTATTAGGCGACAATATCTGAGAAAATAATCGTTCAAAAAAGGGAATTTCTCAAGAAGCGTTATTCTTCTCATGGGGTATTTATTTTCCTCACAACCATGCTAAAGTCTAGTTAAAACAATTTGCATTCCTGATTGAGACATGTGTCAAGTAAGACCTTCTTTACATGTGAATTAATCAGAATCCCAAAAAAATAAAAAATGCTGGCCAAATAAAGACCAAGATACTTACTCGACTGGAATCATGGATGCCGATTTCCAATTTGCTTTCCAAGATTTGAAAAACATGATCCAATGTAATTCCTTTGTGCAATCGCAATAAAGTTACCAGTAGGGAGAAAAACCCTGTCTTTGTTTTTAATTCAGCAGATGCCATTCCTCTGATAAGCCTCATCAAAATATATTCGCAATCCGCCGATAAGCCATCCTTGGACTGAAAAAGCAAGCAAAAATAAAATAAAGATTTTTTTTCTTTTTAAATACTCACTTACTTATAGACTGCATTTTTCTCATCTGTTAGGTGACTTATACGGTTTTTGATAGGTACAACAATCAACATACTCTTCAATAAATTAAAGGCCAGGATTTTTGTTTAAGAAACGAAACGGAATAAACTTATAGTGAGGGTGAAATAGAAGAGAGTGAAGTTGTTAAAAATGAAAAAGAGGCCTTTTTCATGTCCAAATTAGATTACGTATTAATATCATTGATATTGGGGGTATCGATGCCAAGTATCGATGCTTTGGAAGTATCGGTTAAGTATCGACAACCCTAGGCTGTATCTCTCTATATACTTACATTTTTAAAATCAGGAGTATTTTTTAATATTTGAACTGCAGCTCCAGTGGCCAGATCAAGTGAGCCACTAGAAAGGTGCTTGAACACATCTAATACAGAGCCGGGCATTATCTGAAAGCAAGAAAGTTCAAATTTTAGGTAATTACAGTATCTGAATATAAAAATTGAGATACTCCCCAAAGTCTAGACTGAAACTTTTGTTCTTCCTGGTGTATTTTCCTGTATTACAAGTTGAATTGTGGGATTGTTTTGAGCGAGAAAGAGTTTCACATATTGGCCTACAGGCGTAACTTTGATCTGTGAAGACCCCTTATTTTGCTTGTTGGTCGATTGTTTAGCATAAGCCGAAATGGTAGGAGTCTATTCACGGCGTGGACAGAATGGAAGCACACTGTGGTGCATGGTTAGAAAAACGAGTTTTGTTAATCACTTAGATCTTGAGAATAAAACATGAATAAAAGCAACGGCTCACTGTTCGTGACCATACCATGTATCAACCATATTACAGGAATGATATTTAAATTACTTACGGAAGCAGAAATTTAGACACAGTCAGGGAAACTTCGGATCCATGCACATAATAATTATAGTTACAAATATCAAATTTCTAATTTAATTTTGAGCGGTAAGGATAATTGACACCTTGTCTTGAATCCAAGTCCAAGACGAAGACGATTCTGGATTCTGTCGTAAACAAACCAGACATAACCTCCCAAAGCACGTGTCTTTGGCGGGCAACACCCATCGGAAGATGCCAACGCGGGCTCTCTTTGAGCGCAAAATTCAAATAGACGGTCTGTTTGAGTGGGAATGTTAGGAAGACCCGCCTGGACGACTTTGTGAGGCTTTGAAAATTCGTTTTGACGGCTCTAGAGATGGATAGCTTTTTCTCTTAACTCTCATTTGAAAAACTCGTTCGGACTAGCGGGGGAGTTTCCCGCTCAGAGGAGAAAGTGACAGACACTAATAAATTAGCTACCTACTAATGAACCAAATTTCAACTGAAAAGAGAGGTTTGAAATTTTATTCCTCTATAAAACTAAACGTAAGGACCAAGTTTCATGACTTTTTCACATTTAAAATGCATATTTTCTCTTGACTTTGATTTTACAATAAAAAAATTAGGTATGACTGGTTGAATGAAAAACTTCTCCCATTCCTTTTTTTTTAAAAATAAAAAATGTGGCTCTGCGCGATCCTGTTAAAGTATGTGCAATTGTAAATAGATGATGACACTACCAAAACACTGCCCCCTCAAGAAAGAATATGTGGTGCATGTAGAGAGGAAAGCTTTTTACCATGCGCCATAATTATTAATTCTTATTTCGAACGTTCAAAGGAAGAATATTATGTTAGTATTGTAACAAGACTTGAAATATTAACAGGAGGAAAATGAGAATGAACATGGGATCGGTCCATAAAATGCTGTGGCATCGAAACAGGTTTTACTTAAGGCGTTTCCCTCTGAGAGCCCTTATTCTTCATCGACAATGCTCTTTCTTAAGAGAGCAGAACACGAATATCCGTTTACAATGTAGCAGATTTTATGTTTTACTTTTTCAAGGAATAACTGATTATTACTAATGGACAAGGTGTTGTGTGATTTTTAATTGTTAGTTGAAGAATGGTCTCCAAAAATTTCATGCAAAAAAGTCCATCTTAGCTATTCTTGTAAGAAATCTGAATGGAAAGCGGACATTTTGAAACACAGCGATCGGAATGCGCATTTTCATAGTTTATTCAACATCAATACAGCTGTCTCAAATAATGAAAATTTTAAGTTGCAGCCATCCCTACCTACCAGTGGTAGCAAACAATTATCAGGAATCATAATAGATTACTTAGACTTTTAAGAAATTCAAACAATTTTTCAAGAGGGCAACACAGTAGGTTTTTTGCAGGATTTTTTTTTCTTTTCTCTTTTTTGTCTCACCAGATAAAAAATGACAGATTTTATAAACAAAAAATAGAGGATGTGAGCTCCTCACATGAAATTCTTTTGATTTAAAAAGCAATAACTGTTGTACAACTCAAGAACCTGATTAAAATAAAAAAACAAAGGACTNGCCCACTTAGACTTTTAAGAAATTCAAACAATTTTTCAAGAGGGCAACACAGTAGGTTTTTTGCAGGATTTTTTTTTCTTTTCTCTTTTTTGTCTCACCAGATAAAAAATGACAGATTTTATAAACAAAAAATAGAGGATGTGAGCTCCTCACATGAAATTCTTTTGATTTAAAAAGCAATAACTGTTGTACAACTCAAGAACCTGATTAAAATAAAAAAACAAAGGACTAAAAAAATGAGATAAATCTTTTTATTATAAATCAAAGAACACAAGAAAAAAAGGTTACAGGACAGATTCACACTAATCTTTCTTCAGAGTGGCTCAGCCAATGGACAGGAACAGGAAATTTACTGTCTTACTCTTCTACCGTTTACGAGTGCTTGGTTTTGTTTACATTTGCAAGCCAAGTAATGGAGGTAGATGATTTAATCTAATGAGCTTTTAAATTTAAAGTCAGTTGAAAAATTGGTAAATAACTATGATAAATGAATGATAATGAGAAAAACCATCAGGAGCTACAACTTATTTTTACTTTGTAGCTTGCAAACTTGCGACTACTGACTTAAATATTTAAGGACTACTTACTGAGGAAATGAGTGATATTGGAAAATTTACTATCTTAAAATAACTTCAGATCAGAGAGTGATCACTAAGTACAGCACTAAAGGCATGCAAGTCAGCAACTGAGATCAGTACATCCATTTGTCGAAAAAATTGAATCGGATTCCTTTCGACAAATTATTATGCCGCCTTTGATCGTTTACTTTCAAGCCTTAAGAGCTGTTGTTAAAAGTTAATGGTGAGTAAATGCTATTCTTTGATAAAAAAAAAGGGGGGGGGGAACAAAATTCAATGTTATATTCAATCACTGAGCTTCTAAATTTGATCTAAAGGCTGTACTTGTGCCCAAATTAGCAGTGAAAGGGTTTATTCCTATATATTCCGTTCATTCCTCAATACCTCTATTCTGAAAATTGAAGGACCTTTGCCAGTTACCTACCTCTTATTTTTCTGTTTAATATTTTTTTTCTTAATGTAAGTTCATTAACATGTTCCTCATTACCGATCTTTTTCCGTTTAAACTTTGTTCATGTTTGTTGGTTCGTTCAGTGAATGGCAAGTAAAGTCAAGTAAGTGACTTGGTCTATTGCTTGAGGATCAACTAGCTTTGGAAAGCTCAGGTCAGACAAATGAGCCGGTGAGACTACTTCTTTACCCTTTAACATCCCTGGTGGTTTGCATTGGTTGGTGGAGATAGGGACCATAGTTGCTGAAAATGTATTTTTATCCTAAATTTTGAAATGAAAAAAAAAAAACCAACTAACATTCCCTGAACCAGTCACTAACTTCACCCTTCACCAGCCACTCTTGAGGAAGTAGACTAAGAAAGGTGTGAGCTAACAATTTACCGTCACTTTTTTAAAAAAAATTTTCCTAGTGAAAGAATCTGTCCATCTGCTTGGGTACAGCAATCCAGTGGTGTCGAAAATAAAGAGCCATATTTTATGAATACAATATACTTGCTACAAAATCTATGTTATTTTCAAGAAACACAACTCGTAGAAAAAAGTCAAAAATCATTCATTCTGCACATACCTACTAAAATTAAAGTTTGTTGTATATCATACACCTCCATTTCAAAAATTAGGATGATAGTTTCTAGGGATAATTTTTTTTTTTGTGAACTGGAAAAATAGAGTACAATTATGCTCTTCAGAGAGGCTTGGCAACAGTCCTGAGTAAATACATCATAGTCTCCCTCATTCTGCTAAGAACAGGAAACAGAAAAAAAGAGAGGAGGAGATTCACTTCCTTGCTAGCTCATCGCCTACACTTTTACCATCACAGGCAACAATTTTTACCCTATCTACTCGTGCGACTTCCTGGACCTCCCTAAATTCAACATCGTTCAGCATGAACGTCCAAACATTATCACAGAATCTGTAGGTGTTTAATTTGCCAGCTTTGAAAGTAAGCCTTGATTTCACCCGATTTGCCAGAGCGTTATTGATGACTTTGTCAAACTGGAGAAGGACCTTTATCGCAAGCTGTGGGGTGATTTGTCCATACTGGATAAGCTCATCAAGACTTTCCTGTAGGGTGCTGCCTAAAGTTGTGTTCCTGTAAAGCTGATAGGATGTCATGATCAGACCTCTAAAGGAATTTTAAAAACCTTTGCCACAGAGTCCTGGAAAAAAGAAATCTCCGATTAAAAACTTGAGGAAGAAGAGTTATTCAGTAGAATAGCATATGTCTAGGTAAGGGGTAAATTGACTAGGTATTTCCTGCGCTGAACACAATATGACCAAAATAAAATGACACACTGACATTGGATCAGCTGAGAGAATAATGATACCTACCTAAATTAGCTTGGAATACAATTTGCTGCAAGTTTAGTGTTGCAAAAGATTTTTAGGGCTCATACGCAGAGTCTAAGAGTTTATTAGTTTTTCAAAGTTGGAAGTGTAAATGATAAGCTACACCATGTATTTCTTCACTAGACCTAACGCATCTAATACTAATCAAACCATGAGAGAGCGTTGAATTTTCACATGCAGTTATATAAGAATTGCGTCTTGCTTCTGGACAGATACTTAGCAAATTTCTCCATTACTCTACACTTGGGATCCTGACTTTCCAGTACACACTCATTGTTAGAAGTTTAAACCATAGGCTGGTTTACAAAAGTATGAGACAAAAACCGTTCTTTCACAATCTGATATTTTTGCTCCGCAGCCATTGCATCGCAGAAAATTGTGAAATTTCATGGCGATATCCTTAATTGCAAGGCAGAATGAGCAACTTTTTAAAAGTGATGAGAAAAAAAGGTTGTCACTGTTAGATAATGCCCAGCAATGCTGAGATTTGGCACACCGACAATAGCTGAAATGCACTGCTCTTCGTGGGAAGTCATCTTTTAGGCAATTTTCTTTTGGTTTGTGAAAGTTTTGAAAAAATACCTATGCCATTCCACCATGTGAAAAGTCACTTCTAGTAAATACAGGTATGGAAGCCAAATAAATTGAAAAAAAGAAAGAAAAAGTCGCTAGGTACTAGAGTAAAAACTCAAAGTTAATGTGGACTTAAGAGACTTATTATAAGTAATTACGACTGAAAATTCTTGCCATTCCCCTCATAAAACGAAAGTTATGTATTATTTTCTTGCAAGCCGAAAAATGAACCGTTTCATGTGGTCCAGAAAACAACCTGTAACTTGTAAGCAAACATTGATGTACATCACTCTCCATTTAAAGAGTCACTTGATATTAACTTGTGAGAGTCAACATTGATTCAGGAGGGTTAATCTAGTTAAAGGCGAATAAACGCCATCTGCCAACCCTCCAATCACAAGAAAAATCACTGAATAGTCGCAAGCGGGTGACGTGCTGGAGCTAGAAATGGCAGATATATTTGAGTTAGAAAGAAAAAGGAAAGCCACAAACCTGCGAGTAGCTTTAATACTTCAATGAAGCTACCATGGAACAGAGAGCAATGTCTTTTGAGAAACGAGGTGAAGTGAGAAAACTTTAAGTTCAGGAAAAGACAGTAACAAAATTGTTGCTCGACTCGGCTGATAGGCAAGACCTGTTCCTGTTGTGAGGGAAGTAAAATCCTTCGAGTTTCCAGTCAACAAAGAGCACAGGGAATATCTGATGAAGAACACTGATTAAACTTCAACATCAAACTCACAATGAGATAAAATCAGTTTTGATTCTCCGCTTCTCAATTTCGCAAATGTCTGTAGAAAGTCAAGCGAAACAATTTTTTTTCTCACTTCTCCAATTTTGTAGGTTATGTTTATCTAATCGTTACATAAACTGCCGTTAGAGGGCGTCTATGATGTTGATTTTAGGTTAGCTCTCTGTTATTGTATTCGAAAAGTTGAAAAACAATCTACAATAAACTGAAAGTTCAGATGTTACTGAACGAATGTGTGAAAGTATGCTGATGTTCTATATTCTTCACTGACGGTCCCTGAACATTTACGATCATTGCCTCTAAACCTAAACAGCCGAAGCCGGATGCTGCTGCCTGTCGGATGTCGGATCACACTTCATCGAGCTAGGTTCCAATGCAAAATTTTTATCTCCAAGGTAAGGAAGTGTAGTTTTTTCATGAACCAACCGTAAATGGTACCTAAACCTCTGTTTTTGATGCCTGAAAGACTCTCAGGAGAGTTAGCGAGTCCTCAGGCGGTGTGCAAGATTATCATTCTGTTTAGCAATCTAATCAAAATTCCCCCAATATTGGATGTAACGTTAAAAGAGTGAAGTCAAAATAACATGGCACATCAGAACTTCTCTCAGAGCCCTAGAGACAAATATTGTAATAGCATCTGATGAGAAACTTAACCAGAAACTATGAAAATCAATAAAGAAATGATCTCGAAAGAGCATTGCGTCAGCGGGTGAGAGTTTCGGTAACTATGGTGTTGAAACCTTAGAGGATAGGTTGTGTTTAGAAATTCAGAATGTGTGCAATCAAAAAGATGCTGGAAAAATGTGAAAGCACATCAACTTCCTCCACCATATTTACTAAATTTTGTGCCCTTCAATTTTTGAAAACTCTTTGAAGAAAACAAGAGCATGTGCATCAAGCAGAGGAAACCTAGAGGACTTGACAAGTTCTTAAAAAAAAAAAGAAAAAAGAAAAGGAAAGTGGCAAGTGAATACTGAATATTGTCATCCATTTAAATTATAATGAACCCAGAAAATCACTATATTTTAAAGGTAAATATTCAATTCTTCTTATATAATTGACAATCAGTAATCAGACGCAAGGAGTTTCTTATCATTTACTCAACCTAGAATATTCTCCAAAAATTTTGTGAAGATATGCCTGATAATGTACCGGTCAAAACATGAAATAGATCCAAAAGAAAACTTCGAGACAACAGATGTATGTTTTTCCAGTCCTATCATCGGTAAGTACCATCGGGTGTTCAAAAAGTAATGCACGTTTTTGTTTTTTGAGACAACAAAAGCAGCTTTAGATTTGCAGTTTGTGTGTGCTTAAAGTAGACATAATTACCAATAAAACAAGACCAAGAACAGCTCTCTAGCTTAAAAATTGACTGAGTGACAGAGTTTTGAAAATGATTTGTCGAGGGACCGCCTCCAGGATTTTTAGCTACAAATATGTTTGTCAAGAAAAAAAAGTTAAATGAGAATTGAGTGTTTTTATTGGAAAAACTTACAAAAGCTTACGAAAAATTGACGAACTTCAAGCTTCTTCATCGGATGACACGGCTGACTTAACATTCGACTGTTTTTCTAAGTATTTTCCACCACTTTGAACACAAAACTTTAGCTGTTCTGCCCACCTCACAAGGATCGTCTATTCGAAGTCTTCTTAACAGAGGATTTTGAAGAATTTTTGGACAGCGATTTTGATCTCAGCTATGGAATCAATGCCTCTCAGAGATTTCTTTAACTCAGAGAAGAGCCATTCCATAGCCGAGATCAAAATCGAGCGAGTTTTCTTCGATCCAAAAATTCTTCAAAATCCTCCACCAGGGAGACTCTGTAAAGACGATCCTTGTGAAGTGGGCAGAACAGCTGAAGCTTCGTGTTCAAAGTGGTGGAAAATACTTAGAAAAACAGTCGAATGTTAAGTCAGCCGTGTCATCCGATGAAGAAGCTTGAAGTTCGTCAATTTTTCGTAAGCTTTTGTAAGTTTTTCCAATAAAAACACTCAATTCTCATTTAACTTTTTTTTCTTGACAAACATATTTGTGGCTAAAAATCCTGGAGGCGGTCCCTCGACAAATCATTTTCAAAACTCTGTCACTCAGTCAATTTTTAAGCTAGAGAGCTGTTCTTGGTCTTGTTTTATTGGTAATTACGTCTACTTTAAGCACACGCAAACTGCAAATTGATAGCTGTTTTTGTTCGCTCAAAAAACGAAAACGTCCATTACTTTTTGAACACCCCATGTCCATGTACATACCAAATTAATTCTTCTACTCTATTCTTTAAGTTGAAAGGTCACCAGATAATTAAAATAATTTATCAAAGCATAAGTAATTCAAATTAGTTAAAGTACTCATGTTATTTTTCAATGAAAAATTCACTTATCAGAATTGTCTGTATCTTTTTCCTATTTTTCAGAGTTTTGAATTTATTGGAAAATAGACATAAGTCAACGCCCACAATCTATTGTGATTTCGGGCTCTGAAGCCACACATGCAAGATGAGAGGCTTAAACTTCGGCCGGAATGTGCTCAAACTTAGCCCAAGGATCGCCTCTGATCAGTAAAATGATGTAAGTTTACCTCTCCCTTTTATTCGGTTGTCATTCTACATCAAATGGATGCATTACTGGAAGTAGCAAGCGGTCCATCAGAGATTGCGATGGACCATGAAGAGTCTTCAAGCGCAGCTCAGCAAACTGAAAGTCTCGACCCAGTTGAACAGTTGTCTTCTCTGAGCAAGATTTCAGCTGATATCAACACGTCAGAATCTGAAGAGGGAACTAGCAGGAAGAAACCAAGAAATGATTCTGGTGAGACTGATGATGTAGCATCATCTAATTTAGTAGAGGAAATCGAAGTTGATCTGATTGCATATGAAAAGCTTATGGAAGTTGATGAAACAAAGTCAAAAACAGATGCAGCTGGAGTAGAGGCAAGCTCAGTCACAGAGGAAGTTGCAGCAGAAACAGATTCTGTAAGCTCCGATGCGTCAAAGGATGCATCAATATCAGTGTCAGGTTCAGACACAAGAAAAGCTGAAGCCTTCTCTAATTTGCAGAGTATTCTAGCTAGTGCCAAAAAAAAAATAACAATATCTAACCAGGTTGGAGGCAGCTCTAAAAGTCAAAATTCAGCCAATGCATCCTTGAAAAGTGTATCCGTAGCAAATAGTCCTGTAATTATAGATTTAGAAAAAGAAAACTCGGAACAAGGTTCAAATCCTCAGTCAGGCAAATCTAGTATAACAGTAAAACAGGCCCCGAAGTCAAAACCACCAACAATTCTCTCCAGAAAAGTGCTGCTACCAAATTCAACCTCAAGCGTAGGAAAACTTATGAATATTCAAATTTTGAACAAAGATCAAGGCGCAGGTAAGAACGTATCCAATTCCCCATCTCCCAGCACAACTCCAATGAAAAGTCCAACAAAAAAAATGCCGTTGCTTCTGCCCAAACCCACAGAGTCATCACCAGGTCTACAAAAAATTGTCGTTCCCAAGAACTTTGTTTTAGTTCAAACAGAGAAAGGTCTTGTGTTAATGCGTAGTGATGGGGTCCCGGAAGGAGCTGTCAGGGCAACTACAGCACAGTCCAATAGAGTTATCAATTTCACAAAGCACGTCAGTGTTTCAAACACGCCCATTGCTAAAAGTGTAGGTATTACCAATTCACCCATGATCTCAAAATCAACTTGGGGCGCCCCAAAAACCACCTCTGCATCTCATGGTAATGCCTCAGCTACACCCCTCTCATCGTTAAAAATGTCTCCGCTAGTGTTCAGCTCCACCTCAGGTGGGACTATTTCTGACGGAACAGGATTGAAGATGCGTGTAACCACCGCAAAAGTGTATAAATCGAAACCACTTCTTCAACCCTTGGAACCAACTAGGAAAGAGTTACTGAAGGTCACTGATGGATGTGCACATCCAGTCTGCACTCAATACCGCGAAAGAATTATGGAAGAGTTGAGGACAAAAATACGGACCAGAGACCGCAAATTAAAGAGCACAAGAATGGGCAAAGAGCGTTCAGTCAAAAGAGCTGCAAGAGAGTTGCAAACAGTCAAAGATTTGCAGCGGCAGAAATCACTGTATGTAGAATTAGAGTCTTTCCCTGAAAGCTTATGTAAAAATCTCATACGGTTTCAATTGAGACCCAATGAAGGTGTGCGAGCTAAGCGCCAGTATCAAGAAGAGGTCAATGGGTTTGCTAGACGATTGCATTCTATATCTCCCAAAGCATATGACATAGTGAAAGATGTTTTTAACAAAGTACTACCTGAGGCCAAGTCTATCGACTCATGGAGCTTTGGTGAAACTGAAATTCCAGTTCCAGAAAATTCTCAGCCTGAAAAAGCAGTCAATTCAGGTGAAGATGCTGGGTCAGATTCAGATTCGGAGGGCGATAACGAGATGGGTGAAGAAGGTTCTTGAGCCTATTGAGAATTTATGAATAATTAAATTTATGAAATAGCAAGAAGAGGACCAGGCAGATTGAGTCCTTACAATAATCTTTTGGAGACCAACAGTTGAACGCAACCATGGACTACAATTTCTTCTTTTACGGTAATAATATGTATACTGCAATAGATTATATCAGTCACATCATATTGTGTTAGTTTTCTCTTAAAATATGGTAAACCATAGCTACAATACTTGAGCAAAGTATGGATTTATTACTTCTGTTTAGTAAAGAGTCTAAATCTAATTATAGCATCTCCTGAATTCTAACATCAACTCTGGCTCTAATTACAAACTAATTTGAGATGGGAGTTTATCAATGTGCCAAATTTTATTTTCAATGAAATAGGGCATAGATTTCTTTTAAACAAAGGCAGGTGGCGCTGTCTTTTTTATCTCAAGACTCTCTGTGTCAGTTGACTCATCCTGTAGCATGTATGATCAGGAGCAATTCTACATCTTGAAAGAAGTTCTTTACAGGACATTCATTCACCAGCTCTTAGGAAGGAATGTCCTTCCAAAATTTTTAAAAAGACACTTTTTTTTCTTTTTTCTCTCCTTTTTTACTCTTTACTTGTGTCTGCGATTTTAATGCTGACGGAAACTGGCCGTACGGTTGTTGTACAGGACCCCTTGTTGTTTGGTCAAAAGTTTCTGCACCCCTGAACATTTGATTCAAAGCGTTAACAGAGGATCAGTTATTTCAGAGGGATGTCTTTTGTAATCTATAGATAGTTCCCTGTAGGAAGATAAAAATGGATGTTTACTCAGAAAGAGAGACTCAGAAATGACCACCTCCGATTTTGATTTGCTTTGCAGCATTAATTATTAGTTCAAGGACAGCTGAACAATGGACATTTTTCAGTTTTTGCGGATGGAACCCCTCAGCCCCTTATAAATATTTTAAAATTGGAAGCAGCCATAATAACAAGCAGCTAGCCAGGAATACAAATCTGCAACTTTTCTGGTCTGAAAGGAGTACCAATCCATTGCATCACCACTGAACAATATGCAGACAGCTGACCGTTTTCCTCACTCCGCAGACAACCATTGAGGGGCATTCGTAAGACAAATTTTGAGGAGTTTTAGGGGCCCGTTTAGCGGCTTTTCTATCTGCTGTTAACTATTCATAACCACAGACAGTATCAAAATCGGAGGTGTCCATCACTGAGCCTTTCTTTGTTTTTAAAAAATTGGAACATAGATTATACTTTGTTGTTGCCTAGGTTTGTAGAAAAAAAGTGTTCATTGGGATAGTTCCACTGCCATACTTACATCATGTCAGATCCTTTTGAGTTGTAACAGTAAAATTGTACATTGTTATGATGTTTTTAAGCAAAGAATTGAGTGGAGTAAAAAATAATTGCAGCTTGAATGAAGTGGTATTAGCAATAAGTTGAAACCATAGTGAGGGAATCCAGAATTTAAGAGGATACTGCTATAAAATTTTAAAGAAAATGATTATTCATAATCATACTGCTTCAATCATAACTTTTTCGATAAATGTATTTACCAAAGGAAATACCTTATTTTTAATATATGTATCTCTATTTTTTGCTGAACATTTGAGAACCATAAAAAATTCAGCGAATCTTCTTGTGCACCTCTAAATCAAATTCATCAACCCTGTTCAGAGAGCAGGTTTCTGAACAGTTTCATCTAGAATTTTTTTAAATTATTTAGATATCTTAAGGACTAGTTTCCCTATTCATTTATATTTTTTCTCTCCTTTTGATTGCCTATTTCTTCTCCAGAAAAATGTGTTACTACAGTCCTAAAGACAAAGAGTTTTAATTCATGTACTTGAACATCCTCTCAGGATTATTCAATGTTCTCTGAACCAACATTAAATTCAGACATAATATCAATTACTTACCCATTGATTTTTTCACTTTCATATATAAATAAGATTAACAGTCAATGCTGAAGAGGCATGAGAAGAAAAAAATAAACAATGAATTCTCATTCTTGAATTCTCCTAATTGTATTTTTATAACTCAAAATTATGTGGAGAAAAGGTAATAAAATATTTTGTTTTGAAAATATTTCTCAGTTGCTTTCTAATACTCTTAAAAAGCGAAAACCGATATTTGTTTTACTTTTCTAACCATGTATCGCATCAACTTCTTCTAAGGGATGATCTTGAAACTTTACTGAGACAGTAGTTCTAGAAGAAGACTGCTCTAGTAATTTCTCTTTGATTTTGAAATTATTTTTGAAAGGCGTTTGACAACTTTCTCAGTATTCTGAATCGACAATTGATACTTGCAAACTGTAATCTTTAAGTTTCCTCCTCTGCTTTAAAAAATGGCAACAAAAATATGAACCTTCCTCTAAGCCCTATTTTTTGAGGCTGAGCTCTGGTAGAGTCTTAGTTTATAATACAAAGCTGGAGCCATAGAATAAAGAGATGAGTCAACAGAAGGGAGAGCCCCAGCCAATTTCATGACAGCAAAGCAATATCAGCTATTTAGCTGTATATTTTTCCGCCTGTCCCGTCTATATTTGCCATTTCTAAACTAAAGACTTTCGACTTGTTCGGCTGCTTTTCCCTGTAGTAGAGTATTAAGACTGCATTATTCTAGCAGTTACTTAGCATCAATAGATTGTCTCAGCTGGCACCAGGAAAGCCACGCGACTGGGAAAAATGTAAAAACAAGTTCTTCAGAACTTACGTTTTTGCTGACTTGTCTCTTTATTCTATTTTGCAGCAAAATTTCAGTTTTTATGTGTCTCCCAAAGAGTTAGATGTTTTGTGAAAGGCGAAAAAATCATCTAGCTTTGCTAATACTTGTTGGTGGAGTAGTAATGAAATCACAAATAAAGAATCTGAGAAAATCAGGTTTAATGTAATCAAAAAGCCAGAGTCTAAAATCACAGATATTGAAAAACCATAGTGGATGAAAGTGAATGACGGCATATTGGTACCTCTTTTGAGGCAAGAACTGCATTCTGTCAGGATATTAATGACACAAGTACCATATTGACAGCTAAAGTCCGAAAATTCAGATTTCAATAGCAATGTTCGAAAAACTCCAATCAGGTTCTACTTTTTTCAGAGAAAACTTGCATTGAATTTCTTAAGAATACTTTGGAATGGGTATAAATAACTTACTGAGTATTTTAAGGGGGGAAAAAAAATTAATCAGAAGGGGAGACTTGCTATATGGCAATAGGTTAGGCGATCAGAGATAGGCATTTTTTTACTTTAGCCATCAAAGATCAGTGTTCGCAATTCACAGGCGCCAAATGCACCTAAGCAATTGGTCATGATGCCTAAAAATTGAAGGCTCTGTGCCAACGTGGCCCCTAAAAAATTACCCCCCCCCCCAAAAAAAAAAGAAAAAAAATTTCCTAATTTTTATATTTGGTGATTTTTCGAAATTTCCCCCGAGGTACAGCTACTGGTTCTGCAACGAAACCATCTTGCGTCCAACTTTTCACTAAATGTGCTGTGATACATAGGCAAAAAGTGAATTTGGCCCCTAAAAAATCTTCGATGGCCCTTAAAAATCAAGCTTGATGCGCCACATGGCTCCTGAAACTCAAAAGAAAGTTTCAAACACTGTCGAAGGTGTTGCAGCTGTCCACCAAATTTTTTTTTTGATATCTTGTTTAATGTATACTTAGATCCTCCAATTGTTCTCATATGTCAAGATCATCATCTGGATCTTCTTCATCCCAGTCATCATTATCGTCTGGAGTGTAAAATATTTTTCCGCCAGTATCACCATCTTCACTTGTTCTGCAAAGAGAAGAGAATATGTTCCTTTCAGTCGAGGAGTAATTTTGTTCTTCAATATATTTCAATTTGAAAAATCAGTAGAGCCAGGATGAAGACTTTTCAGTACGCAAAAAAGAGAAAACGTGGTCAACACAGGCTGGGTGGAGGAAAAAATGTAAAAAAGTTAGTTCTATGAGGTAATGATTCCTCCTAATTTTTTACATTTTTCCTCAGAGAATTTAAGGTTTCATTCATGATTACAGTGGATTAGTTGGATTACCACAACAACACAGTAGAGCGGTTGTGGTACCTGACAAGCGGAATTTTCTGGTTGTTTTAACGCACGACCAGGATGACCCAAGAGTTTGATGGTCTCGGCCGATAGTCATACAGATAACTTAAGGCGCTAGGAAGAAAGGAAAAATTGTGATGCCATCTTAATTTGAGTCCCTATCAGGGTAAGAATTATGTGGATTTTTGGCTGAAAACCAAAATCACTGATTAAAAAAGTTTTTCAATCTAGGTTGTTTTTTCCAGTAGATAAAAAAAAACAAAAGGAGTATCACATTGGAGAGGGCATATTCTATCAGGAAAGTTCCAAGCTAAAATAAGAACCAGAATCTTTTTTTTTGCCAAATCTGAAAAATATACTCATTTAAACTTACTTCACATAAGGTAGTCTAAGTTCACTGCGTGCTTTAATCTCCGTCTCTTCTAAACTCAGTCTAAATGTTGTAAGGCCATTTGGATCGATGGCATCTTCGACTTTGCTGACTGTTTTCTTTTCTTCGCTTAGAAGCACTCCGCTTTTGTCATACCAACAATATTCCTCCTGGAAACAGAATTATCGAAACACTCGGAACCAAGGTAATTTCAAAAGAACATAAGCTTCTAATTACATACATTAATCAAAACGTGAGTACGATGAATAGAATATTTTCTTATTTCAAATAGAAAATATATAAAATATAAAAAATTTAGAAAGAATCTCCAATGTTTTGGTGGGTTCTTTGACGTTTCGTGTTTTTTAAAGGTCAGTGCAAGTTTTCAATTTTTTTCCTGTTCTACAAGTTGCTCAAATTCATGTACCTTACATTTTTTGATAAGTAAGAGGAAATCAAAAGTACCTGTTTAACTATCTTCCCATTCTTTTTCGCATGTTTGATAAATAAGTGTCGCCGGTTGACTAGGTTGGTTGGAACCAAAAGTATTTCGGTGGAGGCAAGGTGACTTAAGGTTGATATGCTTTTGGTATCAGGTAATGTATCAGAATGGACAACTGCTACCAGCTGCATTAACTGCGTCCCTGAGGTAAAATATAAAAAGAGATGAATTACAAACACATATTAAGTCAAACTAAAGAAAATACATAACGACGGTGAAATTCGGCAATCACATAACTCGGTTCCTTTGCGACGTCGCAGACTTCCTGTCATAAACGTTATTTTTTAGACGGAAAATTACTCAACGGCAATTCTTTAAGACTTCCGTGATTTTTCTTCTCTGTGCAAAGAAAATTCTGCATAAATCTCAAAGAATGATGTCAATTTGTTCTCTTTTAAAAAATTAACATAGAGGCGGAGATTTTCAGACACCGCAAAAGAGTTATGTGATTGCCGACTTACACCATCGATAAGACATATTATGAATAAATAAAATTAATCTACGGCATAAAAGTACAGCAGTATAGCAGGAAAATTTTTGAGATTATAAAGCAATTCATATTTATGGAGCGAAACGTGCATTTTGAAAAAAAAGATGAAAGTAGGCAAGTGTCTTTAATAGCCTACTATTCTTGGCAACAAAACTTTTAATACTTGTCATCAACAGAACGTATGATTGAGTTGTGTATTCCAGACAATGCAGATCTAAGAATGTCTTCCATCTATGATTATTGAGCTTTAAAGCATGTGGAAAATCCTACCTCAAGCAAGATATACAGACTGTTCTTAGTGCAATTTCAAGTCTAATGTATGATACTCTCTTACGATTAAGGCTAGTATACCGACCTTTTTTGATTGGCTTTGTAAGCAAACTATGAAGGCACCTATATGTATCCTGGAGACCATTATTGTAATACAGTGAGGTCAGTGAGTCTATGATGATGGTCACCTTCTCATCAAAAGATACATGGGATTCCAGTATTGATCTAAGAGGTTTGTTGAGACCGCTTAGCGATTCTGGAAATGACAAAATACAATATCACAGTGGTATAGGAAATTCTATTTTGTATAATTTTCAAAATTTCTTACCCTGATTGATGGAAATTTAAAATTCCAATTTGTTTTTGAAGCGGTTAAAATAGAGCATTTTATCTAAGTAGGCCACTACTGCTGCTGTATTTTCATATCAATCCACACAAAAAAAAGAAAAAAAACGAAATTTTATTAGAGAAACTGACGACAAAGTATTAAAATGCAAACGTAGATCAACAAGACAGGTCAGCTTTAACTAGTCATACCTTCATGAATTTGATGTCTTCAACTCATGTTGAGTAGAGCAGATCCTGCAACTCTCCCTAAGAACACCTCAGGAAGACAAATCAAAGGAACTTTTCACTAACAATATACCTATACCCCTCCTTCAGGGATAAAGAAAACATACACTAGAATGCTTCTGGACACGCAAACGTTAGAAAAAGTGAAAGTTCAAATGAGTTGGAGGAATACAAACCATGGTAATTGAAGCAGCAATCAATAAATTCTGCTGTTTGTAGCTCTATATTCAAATCTCTTTTCAATAATGAGCCTAATTTGTCAAAGCAAAGCACTAAAGTTTTTTGGGATTGAGTTTTACTGGCTTCTATAAATTCTTTCAGTAAGAATTTGCCACTTACATCCACAGAATCTGGAAAAAAAATCAATGGACATTTAGGATGCAATATCAATGATGAGAGGGACACCTTTAATTGTAACTCCGCAGATTTCTTTAGATGTAAAATTAAACTATTTGAAGGAAAAACAAATCACTATTATCACACCAACTTTAATTTAATTTTTCTTCCTCTTTTCAAAACTGGGTGAAAGAAAGTTTCATGTTACAATATCAGGTGATATTCTCTTTTAAAAAAAAGAGGGGGGGAGAGGAAATATTAAGACATCACAATTAGGCACGTGCTTTTTTTTTGTTTTACCAACAAAGTATGTTACATGTCACTTATAATTCATAGTGCCACAGACGCTCATAATTTTTGGCAGCTGACAAAAAAGAGAATAGAGTTAAAAAAATTGTAATTTAGGTAAGACCAAATTCTTTAGATGATAAAACAATACATACGTGCATATTGATCCCATGAATTTTCTGTACTTGCCTCTGAATGGGCCACTAGGAAGGATATGATTTAAAACACTTTGTAACGCAAGCAAAGAAAGCAATCCATCCAACAATAAGTTTGGACATTAACTCCTGAATTACATAGATGTTAACATGTAGGTTTCATTTAGGTGATTTCACGGTAACAGTAGCCTAGTGTATAGTGTCGCCAGTTTAGTTCTTAGGGATTCCAAAGATTTACAGCAATTTGATTAAGGAAGAATACAACTGTTGTGGAAAATCTTTTAAAATTGTAACCCAGCATTGATTCATGCAAGGAAATAAGTGAAATTACCGTCACTAGAATTTTAGACTGCAAAATGTTCAGTCCGTAAAAATTCTTAAAATTGAAACTGGCACCACTAATACTTCCGTTATCTTGGAATCACCCACTTATAACTGAAACAGGAGCACTGGTCATCTCTGCTGGTTCTCTGATATTACAGGGTGTATGAGTAAGAAACTAAAAACAGATAAGAGTCAATTTATCGTTTCTTTCTATTTTCTGGGTAGGTTCATTTTGAGACCTTGCAATGAGGGTAATTTTCTTTTAAGTAGGTCATAAACTATGATCTAAGTGGGAATGTAAGAAGATTCTTCTAAAAAACCTATTACAAGAGAGATTCCTCTTATTAAAAATTAATTTACCTTCGATCAAAGTGAAAGAATTCGGCTGACAGTTGCTAATGAGCGCTTTCAACATCTTGCATTATGTATTGACGGCAGTCTGCAGAGAGAAATCGGAACTTACCGCAACAAGGGTACGAGAATTTTAGCACAAATAACTGAAATGAAAGTTTCAAATTACGCTTGTCTACTGACAATATTAGTTGACTGATTCCGAACTGATTGCGAGTGAAAAATCTAAGAAAGTACGGAAATGAGAGAAATGTGGGCATGGTAATGGGAGGTTATGTTTTTGTTTTGCGTGGCCTGTTTGTGTTTAGATGATGACGGTTTCTGATTGGCTATTGATCTGAACTGCAGTAAAAAGCGCCAAATTTTAAATTGACGCTTCTGCTCCACGTGAGCGCAACTGCACCGCACCCGCCGTCTCTTGTTCATTTAACGCGCTTTCGAAAAAAGACAAATGATTTACTGAGATTCCTTAAAGAGATTTCTGCTTGGCTCAGAAGGTTATGGTTGACAAAAATCCTAACGCAGATCATCAGTAAGCAAGATTGTGTCACCGATGCGTCTCTACTCTCAGCTCTGGTGGAAAAAGAAAGAACTTTATTTGGCTTATTATGCACTCGCAAATTCGCAGTACGGATGTATCGCACTGCATTACTGAGCGGCTAAGCTAAGCGCTCGCCTCGTTACGGTGAGAGCTATGATTCGCAACTACTTGTAGGCTATACTTTTTAATGACTTCAACATATTTATAGATGCCGCGTAGGGCATTGAAGGATTATTTTTTCCAAAAAATAAGAGTGAGGATTGCATTTTGATGCACGTAATTGAAAAGGGCTCCTCTTGCTTCAGAGAAACTTCTGGATCCAAGGTCCAGGGTCCCTGTATGAGGGTATGCAGGGGCCGTCCAATAAACTTGTTTTTTCTTAGAGGAAAAATCAGACTCCAGACATGGAGAAATTAATGTAACATAGTGTACAGTTAACATCCTTTAGTATAAATTACGTAAGACCTTTTCCCCATTTTTAGACCCCCATACTTCTCCTTATGCAGCACCGTAAGGCGACCGTTAACCCCCCCCCCCTCTAAAAAGTACGTAAGGCTCGACTGTCCCCCTTTCTTTCCCTAAATTGACCACTAGACAAGGTGCACATTTCAGCATTTTGATACATGTTTCTCAACCGAAATTTCACGTTAAACATACGATGCGCACAACGAAAATTATTGAAATCACATCCTTACGGAGAAATTCAATCAAACCACCCGCTCATGAAAACTCAATGCACTATGTGATTCACATCGCACGCTAAACGTTTATCATGACAGTCTCTGAGATATAAAAATCTGGCAACCTCAATCTTGACGCTTTGGCTCAGCTGTAGCAAATTGCTTATAGTTTGAACAACACATGGTGGAAAATGAACATTGCTCGATTGAGACGCTTGCTGAAACCGTTGTAGTGCGCGATTTGACTCACGTAGAGCTTTGAGTTTCTTGTGAGCGGGTTTCCTCGTAACCAATGTGAAATAAAAAAAAATGTTGATATCTCCGTTAGAAGTTGGTTTCATTGGTTTTCGTTGCGCGAATCGTGTTCTTCGTGAAATTCTGTGAAGAAACATGTATCATGCTAAAATTTGTGCCTTGTCTAGTAGTCCATTATCGCAGATCGAAGCATTACGTTTCTCGTTAGAAAACTATGAAATTTTTAAGCCAAAATTTTTAAGTGAAACTAAATTTCTGGAGTAAGTTCACGGGAAAGATTAATGATATAATTAGTTTAATAAAAAAAAAATACGGAGCAAAATTGAAGATTTTTTTGGCCTTGGGAATAAATAGTTAAAAGTATAAAGTTGACGTAAGGATGAAGTCACTACTCATCATTCCACGGAGTAGAGAAGTTGGACTCAAGAGAAATGGACCGAGTTCAACAGAAAGGAACCAACACACATCAGCTATTGCCAAATTTAACTGGGAAATTTAATTTTTTACGAGAGAACGTTTCTGTGGACTCCTTTGAAAATTTTAAGGAATTTGCTTCGTACTACGGAGAAAATGCGCCGAAATTTCCACGAAAATCTGCACAACCGTTTTCATATAAAACATTGAATTGCCAGATTAAATTTGGCAATAGCTGATGTGGCTTGGTTCCTCTCTGTTAAACGCGGTCCAAATGATAGGGCATGGTTCGTCGGTCAGCAATCGGTGGTTTCCTGATTTCCTCTATTTCATCTTGAATTTTATTAACAACCGGACGAAAAATGGATTTTTGCATTTTCTTGAAATATAGGCTAAAAAGCTGATGTAAGGCTCAGTCGTGCCCTCCCTTCCCCACTCGCAAGGCACCGGAAGGCTGTTAGAGACCCCCTCCCCTCCCCCCAAGAGCCTTACGGAATTTATGGACGACCCCTTTTGTACTTTTTGTATTCCTTATCGTCTTTATTACTTGAATTCCTAATCATATAGATAATAGAATAGAAATCATGCAGATTTTCCATTGAAAAAAACAGGGCGTTTAAGTTGGTTTGAGCTTAAAAGATTCCTGCTTGGCCCGAAAGGCGAGGGTTGACGAAAATCTTTCGGCGCGTGGGGAGTGCAGTGAGTCTGCAGAGAGGAAACATCGATGCTCCCGATTGCGCATCAGACAGTTTGCGACGGAAATTCGGCAAGATTTTTGTCAACCCTACCTTCCCATTGACATATAATACAGTCTAGACCACGCACTAGGCCCGACTTTAGGCGGGGAGGGTAAGACAGCTAGGGGGGTAAAACAGGGTGAAGACGCGCCTTCAGCCTAGTTGATACCGCCGCATATACGAGCTAAGTGTACCCGTATCAGGCAACGGCACTGATAAGACTGGCATTTCCATTGTCTCGGTACATATTACCGGTACACTTACTGAGTGTTGCTAGGTTGCCTATCGTCTCGCCTGAAGGGACTCTAGTCTCACCGAAATTTCCTAATGCGCGGTCTGTACCTTCCGAGCTCAAGGCAGGAATCTCAATGTTTACTTTTTGCAGGCAAAGTATGGAACGTGGTTTGTGCAAAAACCTACAACAGTCCTGTTGTAAGTTTTGGCACAAACCAAGTTCCATAATTTTCCACCTTCATTCAGTATGTAACTTCTCTAAAATATCGTGGCTCGGTAAGGAATATTTGGACGTGTTTCTGCCAAACGGAACTATGTGCATTATGACGTGAGCCCCGTTATGCACGTATTTTTATGGGTCTCAGGGCTCACGTCTTAATGCACATAGTTCCGTTTGGCAGAAATACGTCCATTTAAAGATTTCCTCTGTAAATACAGGAAGGATCTTTAAGATGAGGACGAGGAAAAAATAACAAGATAGATTAAACGAGAGAGATAACAAATGTATTATAATCGTGTTATAAATAACTGTTTAGAGGAGGTGAGAAGATTAGGCACAGTTTTATGATACAAAAACAAAGAGGAGAAAACAGATTTATAATGTCTGCTTGATACGTCATTTTATTTCTTCGACATACGTTGCAGGGAATATACCGACAACTCCATTCAGCTCACCCAACCACCAACCGTCGGGTTGCTTTTCGTGAATATTTATGACGTCACCTGAAACAATAAGAAAACATTTTTCTCGTTGAGTATTCCAATGTTCAGAGCATTTTGTACAGAATTCTTGACCATGCTCGTTCCCTGTTTAGAGTCAAACCACGCTGCAGCGTAGTAAAAGCACAAAAGATAAAAGAAAAAATAGAAGTGCTTTGAAAATCATTAAATATGACATGGAACCACTGGAACCACCTTAATATTTGCAAAACAAACGTTATACTTTCCTTTAATAAATATCCCCCCCCATCAACTGAAATGGGAATAATGCACGCAGAGTGTGCAAACATTTCAAAATCCTGTGTTGAAAAACGCTGACTCCGCGAGTTTAAATATTAGATCCAAACACAGTCGAGTGGCGCGGCGTGCTGCCAGAGCGAAACACGCACTCACGCACTGGCGCCTACAAACCTAACAGGGATACTTCGCGCATTGCGCAATGCTTGAAGTATCCCCTTAGGTTTGTAGGCGCCATGCAGTACGCGTTTATTCGCGTGCCCGCAGCTGGCCACGCGGCGCCTCCAGCGACTATTTCACAACAGAGGTGATGCATGGTAAAAAACGCGTAGACGTAAACTACCAGAAAAACAGGTGGAAGGACAAAAATGTCGCTGGCGACATATCCTGAGACTGTCCTGCCGCGGAGGCATATTATTTTTTAAGTATAATACTAGCCGTTCTGGGCACAGTTCGCGCACCCGTCACGGGTAGCCAAGGAGCTGCAACCTTTGAACCCCCAGTCAGACATTCGGTTCGCTCCGCGACCCTTTTCCTAAATAATTCGAAATTTAAGCACCATGATGTATACATTTTGGAGGCTCCCAAGACAAAAATGATTTTGTCACAGAAACTTGTTATCGGAAAGTCCCATCATTTGAACATAAATAAATATGTGGAGATAAAGCAATGATGGGGATCGCTCATTCCTTAATAAACTCATTTGGATGGGACGTCAGTCCCATGGGGTGGAAGAAAGGGCTGTCCGTGGATCTCCTTCTACGATTTGACTCACTTAAATAGCAAAAGTTCATCTTAACTTCTTAAGAAGAAGAAGGTGGCATAGCGGTCTGAAAACTGTTCAACGACAGTTGAGGTCGAGTTCCGAATCGGTATGAGCTATATCCAGTTGGTCTTGAATGTGCACTAAAGTTAGGCTAAAAACAAGGTGTTGAAGCACTAAAATCAACTGAAAGTCATGCGTGATGATTACCTGGTTCTAAATTCAATTCGTCGTATAAATTGGCAGTGTAGTGATACAAAGCTTTACATTGAGTCCCATTCGTCAGACTGCAAGGGGTTGTAGGCTCCGATAATACTGGATACTGACTTATCACGCTACTTTGGTAATCATGCTCGCTACCTTGACTAGAAAATTCATCTGTAAGTAAATTAAGGGAAGTCAGATATATCAGATCACCGCAGGAATGTACGGACGCTATTGAATTGAGATAATTTCGGGAGCAAAATACGAACGTAAAATTAGTTAAAATATTATTTTGAGCAAGTAAGTAAGTAACATGCATTATTTTTTTCTTCTTCTTCTTTCATGAAGAGAGTGGGACGTAGGTAGTTATTACTTATCATACAAGGAGGTTAACTTGCAATCTTTTCGGCTCTGGACAGGCTGAATCAGTATAATTTTGACTATAATGATTGACTTTGAATTCACGCTGTATGAAGGAATGATAAATTCAGCGTGAAGGAATGGTAAATTCTACCATTTTTTTTTGGGGGGGGGGGGATGTGTGCTCTCTGAAAGAAGGAATAGAACGTCAGATTAGATGGCAATCGTATGCTGAGTAAAATAAAACTAAAAGAAAAGTATACTGACATTGTTCCTCACCAAAATCACTATCAGGCTGGACTGAATTGCCGTCAGCCGCTCCTCGATCTGACCACTCGTTTGTCGTTTCATTTTCGATAGATTCGTCCTTATGAACCCACGCAGGAACCTGAAAGTAAGAGCATTTATTTACTCCTCTTTGCCACCTTTATAAGTGCTTTGCATCTGCGCCCATGTGGAATTTCATTATTCGTAGGATAATGGCGTGTGAATGCGGGATGAGGCGTTTGCACGAGAAAACCGAAACCGCCGCTCCTCTCTGACTAGAGGGAGTATAGCCTGTGTCACACTATCAAAACTAGCCATCAAAATATCAAGGTCAAGTGTTGTGATTGGCTTATTCAATGACTTGGACCAATCACAGCACTTGACCTTGACATTTTGATGGAGTATTTTGATAGTGTGACACAGGCTTTTCTCGATTTCCGCATGAGCCCCAGAAAGCACGGATATATGTGAAACAGGGATTCACGTGGAAATCGAAAGACGTCAGAGGAGCGACGAAAAGTCGGAAACCTTCTTGTTCCCTCCAACGGATGAGTCGACTTCGAAAAGTCTCCTAAATTATTAAAAATCGACTGTAATTGACTCAGTTGCTGGCGTTCAGCAAGTTATGAACGCATCAGTAAGTGTAACGATCTTATTACTTGTATCGCAGAATTATATATTTTCATTGGTTTGAACATCATTTAGCTCAAAATTTCACCGCGAATTAGAACATGTAAGCTGTAAAAACATTTGGAAAAATTGCATTCCGCAATTAGCAGTGATCGCGCGATAGGTTGCGATTTGATCGGGGATCGTCGCGGTTTGATCGATGTCGATTTATTGCAATATTATCGGGTAGAAAATTTCTGTTTTATTGCATGAATTTGCAATAAAATCGCGATTTTATCGAATCGCAATATTATCGAACAAAAAATCGTGATAACTTGAGATGAAATTTAGATTTTATCGAACACGATTTTATAGAGGTAAAATTGAGACAAAATCGAGGATAACCGCTCAGATGTTGATAATCCTATCGATTTTACGGCCAAAAAATCGTAAAAAATCGCAAATAGTATCAAAATATTGCAATTTTTTCCCCCGTTGAAATACAGTACATGAATCTTGCGGTTTGATGCCCAATTCATTTTGGTCCGTATCATACTCACTTTGAGAATGCTTTGTTGCAGGCCTTGCCTGTCTCGTGTGACAGAGATGTGTGCTGCTAGAGGGTGACTTAGTTTCGGCCTGCCTTCTAGTTCGGCCAGCGAGGAGGCCAGTTTGTACCTTGAGGCGTCCAAATAGGTCAACATCGATCGCATCTGTGGGCAAATGGAGCAGATGTATATAAGTATTTGATTTAAATGATAACATTTTAAGCTGATTTGATCCATAAATTCTACCCGAGAAGGGAATAATTCAACAGTTTAGTAAATCCAACTGGTTCGTTTGCTTACGGCTGTCAGAGGGCCACATCAGCCTATTTATTGTTTCAATTGATGAAAATGCTACACACAAATGGACCACGATTAGAAGAAAGGAACCAAACCACATCAGCTATTGCCAAATTTAATTGGGCAATTTAATTTTTTACGAGAGGACGTTCGTGCGGATTCCTTTGAAAATTTTAGAGAATATGCGCCTTATTATGCAGAAAATTCACTGAAATTTGTATAAAAATCCGCATAACCGTTTTCAGGTAAAACTTTTTTTTTGCCAAATTAACTTTGGCAACAGCTGATGTGGCTTTGTTCCTTAACGCGGTCCAAATGAACATTGACTCCCTTTGTGAGTACTCGAAATTTGACTGCTTCGTTGCAGAACTCGTTGCATAAATTACGGCGCATGCGTTTTTTAATTAAGTAATGACGTTATGTCTCGTTATTGCCCCCCTACCGGACCATAAATGCTGCCCGTTTCCAAAGAAAGTGATTTTTTCTAGAATCATTTCGAATTATCCGAAATATTTCCCACCAAGATCAATACGCATGATACAGATTCAACCTTCCTGCGAGCAAAAAAGAAAGAAAAAAAGGAAAAAAAGAAAACCGGAGGAGGAGGGAGGAAGCACTATTTCCATGCATGGTAAAGCAAAGCTAATGATCCAAACTTACATGATGTAATTTTTCCGTCACGTTTTGTTGAGATTCTTCAGCACCAAAAGTTGGTTGCTGACGAAGTGCTCTCGCCAGGTTTTCAACCCCTTCTATCCCTCTCCTTTCTCGTTCCAAATCTTGCCTAATCAGGTGCAGTAATTTCACTAATGCCTGGAAAACACGAAAAAAAATTGACGTTCATACTGATAAATGGTGAGGTGAAGTATGCCCCTTCATTAGCTAAAATTTCAAACATAATTTTTTCCTTGCGTAGATGCAGTTTTCCTTAGAATGGGAAAGCAGTCATTTACATTTTGCATCAACATTTGCAAAAGTCGCTCTTGGGCCTGAAATAAAGCAATCCGCAGAGAAAACGATCGGAAAAATTCAAGGAATCATTTGTGTCTTGTCCCCTTCAAAACAGAGAGGGGAGGGGGGATTCAATAGCTTTCCAAAAAAGGTATCTCCATCATTCAGGTCAAATTTTAAGTTCGATTCTTATGGGGGCTCATTCTTAATGCACATAGTTCCATCCATTTCTTACTAAAAATCGTCTGGATCTGGGACTAAAAACGTGCTCTTTAGATGCTGTGCGTAAGCTTGAGCTGGAAAGAGGAAATTGGGGCTCACTTGTTTCCGACGCTCTCGATTCATGGCGAGGGTCATGTGCTCGGCGTAGAAGTCGGGCAGGAGCTGCTCGGGAACCGGCTGACCCGTCCCTTTGAGCGAGATCACAGACTGAATGTCCTGCACCACGTCGCAACTCTCCACCGGCTCCTTCAACCGATCCGAACTCTGCAAAATACGATCAACCATTCAAACTGGCTCCATTCAAAATTTCCATATGGAGTACTTACCGACGCCACGCACAGTGGATCGAGCCATCGGGAGAGGTCGGACAAGTATTTTTCAACTCTTACTGAAAATGTTGCTCTTAACTTCGTCAAATTTTCAATTTCAAGGGATGTTTTGCAGAGGTTTTACAAGAAAACCAATGGGTCCACACTCAAATCCTTCGAGTTTCTAAATTGTGTCCGACTTCTCCCATTGACTCGTTTCATTGTGCTACGCGACGCTACCGTCGCAATGAGGCTGAGAAAAGTGTTCAGTAGCATCGAGTTAATAATCTCATTCTTGATAAATAACATGCCTCAATTTATTGTGAAGCCTCCTTATTCAGGGATTTTTGCTAAATTACGTGCGCCAATACTGCCGTGCTTAGGAAAAACGCCGTATGAACAATCGATAGTTGCCAAATTTCCTTCACTAAAATGTTCATTTTTTAGGAAACATTTCAAAATCCTGTGTTGAAAAACGCTGACTCCGCGAGTTTAAATATTAGATCCAAACACAGTCGAGCGGCGCGGCGTGCTGCCAGCGCGAAACGCGCACTGGCGCCTACAAACCTAACAGGGATACTTCGCGCATTGCGCAATGCTTGAAGTATCCACTTAGGTTTGTAGGCGCCATGCAGAGCGCGTTTCGCGTGCCCGCAGCGTGCCACGGCGCCTAAAGCGCCCAAAAAAGTATGAATATTTTTTCTTGACATTTTCAGGAACTTCAGATGAAAATAATATGAAAAAAAATCTCTGAAAAATTGGGAAATAAATATCCATAAGTTGACCAGGGAATGCGTGTTTTACCAAAAGAAATCTGACAACGTCTGAAGGCTTATGCGATCTTTTTCCTTAGCACGACAGAATAGTGCACACGGCCGACGCCTGTCCTCCCATGACAAAACGGTCGCTCAGAGATCCATGAGATTCCGATGGGTCCCAATGGAGATTTCATGGCGAGGATCCATCAGAATCCATAAAATAGGGAAGTGCATCCGAGAGTCCTTATGGGCTGAGTGGAGAGACCAACAGGATCTCACGTGGCACCCTGCAGAGTGACTTAAGGGAAACCTTGGCGCTTTCAGAGGGACCTCGGTTCTTGGTTGTCTATCACAATGGGAGCCTCTTCCAATTCCCGATGGGTTCCCACGTGAATTCGTGCAATATTCCTGTGAGCTCGTTTTGACAAAGTTTAAAAGTACCAATAACTTGGGAGAAGTATTTTAATTTGTCTAAAATATACACGTGTTGTATTAAAGTGGAACGAGAAAATACAATAATTGAAATTGTAATCTATACTGTAAATGAGTGGGAGCTAAGATCATGAACGTATTTACTTTTCTGTGAGTATGTTAACTTACTTGAGTGAGCTTTGGTCCAATTTCTTTGAAATGTCGAAGGTAAGAATTTGCTAAATTTTTTAATTGATTCAGTCGCTCTTCCTCGAGCGCCTGAAAACAATGACTGCCCCGAACCACGGCTGTCTCCCACTCTAGCCTAAAAAATAAAAAAAAAAAACTAATTAGCGGAGCCCATTCAAAGGTCAATTTCTCAAACGAATAATCCGGTTGATGATGAATCCATTAGGTTTTTCTGTTAGACATTCGATTTAATGGACGGCCACTTAATCATAATGGACCGCATTTTGCAATTAGGAACTATAAATCTCGGCCCGGTTTAAAAACAACGTATGTGCCATTAGTTTCCCTATGCTCATAAGTGTTTTTTCAGATGAGCCAGAATTTATAGTTCCAAATTGCAAAATACAGTCCAAATGTAAATCCGTCTGAAACAAATGCAAGATATTTGAGACCCTCAAACTATAGTCTAGAGCCAGTCCAGCTGATTTTTCTTTCAGTCACGGCTTCAAATGGCGATATTAAAGTAAAAAAATGCGTATCTCCCATCACGATGTTGCAATTCTTCGCACATGCTTTATTTTCAAACTAAGAATAACCAATAGTTTATACTGACACTTCCAGCGTGCTCTCTTCGCTCGCTGAAAAATGTTCACAAAAAATTTTACGGAGATGTTTTGTTTGGTCTCCGTCTGAAAAAATAAAAGAAAATAAAAATAAAGTATAACCGGATATTTTCAACGTCACATTGAAGATAAGCATTTTTTGCTTTTAGCCATAAAATCATGCTATGGCATTCTGATAGGGAGACCTTTGGATTATCCCATTAACGTAAACTCTGTAGGGTTGCTTCTGGAAAATTTAAGACATTTTTCTCAGGCTCTAATTTATTTTAAGATTATATAAGATTTTAAACCTTATAGAGGTTAATATTACTTTGGATATTTTATCGCCAAGGACCTGGCGTTACCTAGTGAAACAATGAAAAAATTCAAAGATAATAGCGTCCTCTCAAAGAAAAATGAAACTGACTTTTTTTCACGAAATGAAACACTAAAATCCTTTCTTTTCAAAAAAAATATTATCGTATTTAGACCGAGATTAACAGAAAACAACCAAATTTGTAAGAAAAGGGATTTGCTTATTAGTTGAAGAAGTCCGTAAGTATCATTATTTGCAGTTGGTTATTTTCTGTGTCTCGTTTCACACAAGATAAATGTAAGAGGGATGACTGACTGTATACTTGACTTGTCCTTGGCTAATTCGGCTCTTTTTGCACTCAGGATAAGGGAATTGGTTCATTACAAATGTAGAAAGGATAACGGTTTTGGCAGAAAATGCGACTCTCTCCGTCAAATATAAACTAGCAATGCCCCTTAAGTTTTATTAAACTTTAACAATCGAAATGAAACATTTTCTAGGAAAGAAATAAAAAATAAATTCTATCACGAGCAAAGTCATTATTATCCACAAAAAAACTCGGGTCTTTCCTGCCTAACTTCATCCACTGATTAAACAAAGAATAATAAATTCTTTATGTGCCTTGCGGTCGTGATTTTGGATGATAACACCTGGATGCAACTATTTATGCTCGACGGATGTCGGTGTTGCATACGCAAAACAATGAAGGCGCTTAGCTTTTCCTCCCGCGTCAACCGTAAATCACCGATTCAATTGAACTTAGGTATGATAACTTGACAAGTACTAACCTTGCTCGTTCTGCTCGTACACAGTAGGTATAGTATTCTACATCAGATTTCTTAACAGATTCTTCAGCCTTTTTCCGCTTTGATTCCAACTGGAAAGAGATGAACCATATTTAGTCACAATTTAAATTTATAATCAAATCAAAATTTTGCAACGGTAAGAAAGTCTTAAAATTAAATTAAAAGAGATAAGGAATTTCAAAGGGTGTTTCCGGGAGTAAATTTCACGAAAAAACCAAAGGAATCGTTCTTTAACTCCTTTGTGTCATATCATTTTCGGAAATTTATGCTTCCAAAGTTTCCAAATATGGACCGACTTCTCCTACAGTCTCGGTCCAGTGTGCGGCGAGGCCAGTGGCGAGGCGTAGAAGATCGATTATCGATATCTTTTCATTTGAAGCTATGGGAGAGAATCGATTATTAAGGTGTTCGTTGCGAACACCCTGTTTATCGATCCTTTTCCATGGGTTTAAATGGTAGACCAATCTATACATCGCAAAGCACGCCACGCCACTGGCTCATGTTCTCACAGCTGTTTTATACTGAAGAAAATTTCGTATGAACTTTGTAAGTTGCAGATATAATCCTCTGATAAAATATGATCATCCGATAGTAGCGTCTGTATTCCTAACCCTGCGTTCAAGTCTCTTGTACCTACTGTTCTCGCGGTTGTGCTGTACTGAGGAAAATGCCCTATGAACTTTGGAAGTTGCAAGTTTTATTTTGATAAAGAATAATCATCTGAAAAAGTGAAGTTTGTTTTGTTTGGAAACGTTGAGAGGCCTCTCAGATTCAGATAATCTGAAAGCACGCCACGCCACTGGACGAGGCGTTGAGGAATGGACCACTAGACAAGGTACGAATTTCAGCATTCTGATACATGTTTCGTAACTAAAATTTCACGAAGAACACGATACGCACGACACAAATTACCGCAATTAACTCCTTACGAAGATAAATAATGATTCTGGATGCGTGAATTCAAACCACCCGCTCATGAAAACTCAATGCTTTACGTGATTCACATCGCGCGCTAAACGTTATCATGAAAGTCTCTGCGATATAAAACTCTGGCAACCTCAATCTTGACGTTTTGGCTCAGCTATAGCAAATTGCTGATAGTTTGTACAACACATGGTGGGAAATGAACATTGCTCGATTGAGAAGCTTGCTGAAACCGTTGTAGTGCGCAGTTTGACTCACGTAGAGCTTTGGTTTCTTGTAAGCTGGCAGTTCAAATTCCCCGTAACCAATGTGAAATAAAAACGTTAATATCTTTGTTAGGAGTTGGTTTCAGTAATTTTCGTTGTGTGAATCGTGTTCTACGTGAAATTCTGGTTAAGAAACATGTATCAGATTGCTTAAATTCGTACCTTGTCTAGAAGTCCATTGCATGTGAGTACTGAAAACGTTGATTAGAGGTGTAAATTTCAATTTTTCCTCGGCGCGCTGCGCAGGATTGCTTTGTCTTCGCGGCCGGGGACTCACTCAGAGTGTCAATATGAAAGGATGATTTGCGGTTTTAGATGATGAGAGGGCGCGCTGGGTCCACCAGCTCGGCTTCGGGGCCCCTCCGCAAACTTGCGATTCGCGCTTCGAAATTGCCAGGTTAAGAACTCGCGAAATTGCGCGCTGAATACAGATAGGCCAAGATTCGTAATGAAGACCCATTAATTGTAATGGGGCAGTGACACAGCGAGGAAGCACCGCGGTGTCATGGAAAGATACCCTATCAACAACTCCATACGCGTTGCCAAATTTCATCCAAAGAACAGTGCATTTTTTTCTGAGACCATGCAGACGATTTCAAAAAAATTGGAATGGTAGAGTGGTATCGCCTGTTCATGTTTTTATTTTCAAGGAATTAAGGTGGTTTGATGGACGTTATAGTTCGTGTCAGAACGACATGCGATATATCGCATCGATTAGTTCCATTTTTTCAGCTGCGTGTCATTTTTCTCGAATTTTGAGATCGGAGTTCTGTTGTCAGGAGACTAAAGAATTCACTTACCAATCTTGACAAACAAATTCAACGTAATAAAAGGCGTGGTTTTTTTGGAGAAAAAATATCGCATTTGATACTGATATCAAAACTGCACTCAAATTCGATATTTCCTCTCTCAAGAAACCACGCATAAATTACATTGAATTTGTTTGTCAGAATTGGTAAATGAATTCTTTAGTGTCCTGACAACAGAATTGCGATCTCAAAATTCGGGAAAAATGACGAGTACCTGAAAAATGGAACCAATCGATGCGATCTATCGCATGTCGTTTTGACACAAAATATGGAGTCCATCGAATCACCCTAAGCCGATTTAATCACCAATTGCCGAAGAATACAATCATTATCAGAAATCGTTTCCTTGTATTCTGCAGGGGTTAATGCAAGAAAATAGGAGAAATCACCATCACTGAGACACTGCAGCCAAAAAAATGCTGTTTGAGTTATGCAAGTGACAAGACATTTTTTTTCTCGTCGCTTGCGCGCAACGGCCATTAACATTAATTTTGCGGTGTAAAGTCTCGGGAATGATAAATGTTCATATTATGTTGCAAGAATTTACATACAGTCACAACTACGAAGGATTTCCCGAGATAATTGTATTACTTTCCAAGTGATTGTGCCCACACGTTTTCGGGTTCTACACAAAACTGATCGAGATACATTATACTTTTCCCGCTATTGTCAAATCTCCCGTTCACCCTTTCCCATTAAGTTTTTTCAGATTATCTAAATCTAAGACGCCTCTCAACGTTTCCAAACAAAAACAAACTTCACTTTTTCAGATGATTATTCTTTATCCAAATAAAACTTGCAACTTCCAAAGTTCATAGGGCACTTCCCTCAGTATATAGCACAACCGCGAGAACAGTGGGTACAAGAGACTTGAACGCAGGGTTAGGAATACAGACGCTACTATCGGATGATCATATTTTATCAGAGGATTATCTGCAACTTACAAAATTTCATACGAAAATTTCTTCAGTAGGTATAAAACATCTGTGAGAACATGAGCCAGGGGCGTGGCGTGCTTTGCGATATATCGATTGATATACCATTTAAACCTATAGAGAGGGTCAATTTAACAGGGTGTCCGCAGCAAACACCTTAATAATCGATACTTTACCACAGCTTCAATTGGGGAAATATCGATAATCGATCATTCACGCTTCGCCACGGCAGACGCAAGAGACTTAAACGCGCGGTTAGAAAAATAAACGCTTTTATTCTGCCGATTTAATAAGGAGTAACGCCGCACCGCATGAACATTCGAGAGTTGCCAAATTTCTCCGGATAAAACATGAATTCTTCAGGAAGATTATGCTTATTTTTCCTTGAAATTTTCAGATATTTTAGATTCAATTGCGGACAAAATTGTCTGAAAGATTTAAGGAAAAATGTTAACAATTTTCCCGGTAAATTCTTTATTTATGGAGGGAGATATGGCAACGTCTGAAGGCTCATACGACGCTCTTTCTTAGCACGGCAGTGTTGATGCCGCCACTGTAAGGACTCTCCGTTACATCGAATTTGATCCTGATGATAACGACTACATGACCTCTTTTAGTCCTACCAATAAGAATAAATCGATATTCATTGCTTTCTTGTGACGTAACACTAACCCTCACCAGATGGGATCAACAAGCGTTGTCAGTTGTGACACTGGTTTTCGTAAAACTGGACGACCAAGCGTTTTAACCCACCGAAAGACTCTTAATATGAAGCAGTGGAAGATAATTCGCCGTTTCCCGCACGAAGGGACGTAACTCCACTCCAAGGTTGCAATGACTCGAAAAATTCTATTTTCTACGGGAACGTGACCCTGCCATTGCTGTCCAAATTATTTCTGATTTTTGCATGAGATACGAAGAAAAATTAGTTGAAATCTCAGTTAGAAATGCCCAGGTTTCTCCTGGTTAAAATGGAATTTGCGCTGGGAAATTTGGCAACGTTGGAATGAGCTTACGTTCTTTCGCGACGGAAACGACGAATTGTGTGAAATTAATCCGGCCGAGAGATAAGTGAGGATTCTGATTTGAGCGCCCAAGAAACGGAAAAACAAACGTGCGTGCGCTCTCACGCGCAGGCACGCCCACTTAAATGAAGTTATTGTAACTCACAATTACGCCTCACGCACGATTGCGTTGAGCTCGGAACTAATTAACGTGAAAACTTTCACACTTGGTTTTGAACAAAGCACACCAGGCAGAGGATGCAGGAACAGATTTTCACTTTCTGCAAAGACGAAATTCCTGGCCACAGAGCGTCTGAGTTACACTGCGTAAATATTTCCCATGCATGTTTTCGTTACATCATCGTGCATCATGTTCAAGGCTACGCCAATTCCTTAGAAATGTAGTCGCTAATTTAAAGTAATTTCTCGAGAGCATTCCTTCAATGGTTCTTTCGGAAGAAATACAAGCTAAACACAATATAGACCGTATTCGATAACGGTTCGATGTATCGTTTGGTTCAAAACAATAGAACATAATCTCAAACCAAACTGTAAGGATTTAAGTTGGAAAAGCTGAAAATGAGAAATTTCCTGCCAATTTCACTTTGCATTGGCATTTGGTACTCAAAAGAATAAAAAATCTGTTACAAAAGACCTGTTCTCTCAGATTTCTAAATTGACTTTTGAGGCTATGTTTATGTTTTGAACCAATCGATATTCATACAATCTCACCCGTTTGATGCATCGAATACGATCTATTGAGCTGAAATATCTAGTTTTTCACACATTTAACTCCAGGTCTCCGAGAGGCGGAGAAAAATGAAGACCAAATTATTGGTGGTTTATTGAAAGACTGTTTTACTGTACCAACTTCTTCTTTGCCATGAAATGAAAACTTGAGAGAAATAAAAATCCGCATTCATCATCAAAATTAAGTGCGGCCTCCTCCCTGGTAAAAATTGCCAGTAGAATCTGTGTTCCAAAATACCATAGACCTACAGCCGGCTGTAAGATTTCCAATAGCTTCTATAGCCGGCAACACAATTTCTTATAGCCTTTTGTAGCCGATGGCGATTAAGCAACAGCCTGGCGATATAGTGTATGCTAAACGTTACTAATTACGGATGCTACGACTTAGTTAGTTTTTGGACTACCGCTCTCTTTTTGGGCCGTAGTATCTTGATTTATTTTGAGAGGAAAGCTCCGTACTTTTGAAGGATGCCTGCCATTCGTAATATGTTGGAGCGCCTTCAATTTCGTATGATACTGTGCAATACCTCTGGTGTGAAATAGTTGCTTCAAGCGCCGCGGTACGCTGCGGCGCGGCGCGGCGCGCGGGCAGCCAGCGCGGAACGCGCATTAGCGCCTACAAACCTAACAGGGATACTTCACGCACTGCGCAATGCGTGAAGTATCCCTGTTACGTTTGTAGGTGCCAGTGCGCCGCCGCTCCGCTTTGTGTTAGGCTCTAATATTTAATCTCGCGGAGTCAGCGTTTTTCAACTCATGACTTTGAAATGTTTGCACACTCTGTATGGATCATTCTTATTTTAATTGATAAAAAAAAAATATGTAGTAAAGGAAAATATAATGTGCGTTTTGTAAATATTAAGGTGATTCCGTACAAACTTAAGGATTTACAAAGCACACGAATTTCTACACAATTTCTTATAATCCTTTATAGCCGATGGCGAAAAAGCAACAGCCAGGCGATAAAGTGTAAAGCCCGGCGATAAAGTGTAAAGCCCGGCGATAGGAACTATAGCCCGGCTGTATAATTTTTTATTGCTTCGTGTAGCCCAGCCGTATGATTTTTTCCACTTTCTACAGCCAGCTATATGATTTTCTATCGCTTTCTTCAGTCGGCTATAAGAACTCCTATGGTATTTTGAAACGCAGCTCCTATCGCCAATTTTCACCACGGCTCAGATAATATACTTCAACTTAATCGTTCCTGCTTAACAAAACTTAGTAAGATTTTGAATAAAATGTTTGGAGTGGAAACTACTTACTTTATTAGATTCTTTGTCGGAGACTGGTCTTTGGCTATGCAAGTGAAGTGTACTATTGGATAGTTTATTTACATTATTTCCTAATCTAACGTCAAGCATTGCGTCCTGAAGTTTTTCGTTCTCACGGGCACTGATAAAACTTTGTTTCTTACTTTTGATTTCAGCCGCCCGCCATTCACTCAGACTTTTTCCTGAAAAGTAAACGAACCAAAAGGCACCTTTTAGTCACTTGAGGTAAAAGAGTGTGTAAAATAAGGTCCAATGAAAGCAGGTGTACAATTAAGGACTAGAGTAGAACGAGCAAGGCTTTATGAGATTTAAATCTCATGAAAATTTGTACTGCCGTGCAATATGATGCCCTGAATTCATTAATGATCTTAAAAAAATCGAAATCTCAATTTGAAGAGGGAGTTTGGGGGTGCTTCGGCCCTCGGAGTCTGACCGTTTAACTCTGGATCACCCTGTATATGGTATTGAATTGAGATTCTGATTCGTAACGGTAAACGCCATTAAATTCATTTCAAACAAAGTATTTCCAATCATGTGATTTTTTTTCCGGCTCCCGTGTGTATTTTCAAATTGTTTTCGATTTTCGACTCTCCGCGATATACCTGCTCATCAGTGGCGTGGCGTGCTTTGCGATATATCGATTTTTATGTCATTAAAACCTATGAAAAAGGATCGATAAACAGGGTGTTCGCGCGCAGCGAACACCTTAATAATCGATTCTTTACCATAGGTTTAAATGGCATAACAATCGATACATCGCAATTCAAGCCACGCCACTTCTGCTCATCGAGACTCTGCCGTACATTCCATCCTGAACAACCCTGGACAAGAATCCTGGATGCAGGAAATTGAGCTAGTCTCTCTTTTCTCACACGCAAGCCGATGAACTAGCTAGTCCTTAATTCAGTTACCACTCGACATGAAAAAAACACTACCATCAACGCCATTCGAGTCACCATAAAAATGTTTTATTTTTTAATGATCAACTCTCTCCGTATCTCATGGTGAGGTAGCATGTTTCGTTTCTCACGTAACATGACACTTTGGTGGGGTGTTTACAGGGCCCAGCGTCTAGAGAACTTATTAGCGCCTCGTTAGCTGGTCAACGAGCTGCGTGCCATAAATTCGGAGGATGCTCTTGGTCATGCTAAGAATGTTTTATATCTATCGTATATAGACATAAATCCCGCGAATTCTTATCTAGGTGAGCGATGTTGCGTTTCTGTTTCAAAATTTATTTTATAGAGTTTTATACGGCTCGGCAGTTCGAATAATTAGCGATGGATTAAAAATAGGTACGCACCAGTTTTGTCTACTGCTGTTTCTACTGACTTCCGAATCCTGTGCTGAGATTCGACTAGAAGTTTTAAGGGTTTGACTACCTCCTCGGATAAAGCTGTTGCAAACGCCCTGAAAATTAGTTTTAAAAAAATATAATTCAACAGAATACACTGCCTCATGAGGTGAACACAAATAGACATGAAAGATGTTTTAGAGGTAGGTACTAGTACAGGTCATGGAATCGGATTTCAATATGGGTCTCAGGGCTCATGTCTTAATGCACATAGTTCCGTTTAACTGAAATAAGTCCACTTAGCATTCCGTGATGTATATGTAAAACATCTCAATTCGGGGGATTGTGAGGAAAAATCAGTTCGACCTTGCGTCTCGCCATTTACCTGGGAACAGGCAGACAAGACTGCTCAAGTGAACGTATTTCTGTCAAACGGAATATTATATGCATTAAGACATGAGTCCTGAGACCCATAATAATATATGCATAACAGGGCTCAAGTCATAATGCACATAGTTCCGTTTCGCAGAAATATACGTCCAAGTCTAATTAGCCGTCACTTGTAAGTTATAAGTAATTAATTATGGCTGGCTGCGTAGAATTTCACGAGTGTCGCTACGCTGCCATGCGAAATTCTCCAAGAGGCGATAATTTCAAGGGAACTCACCTGTGAATCTCACTTTGAGTTTCCATTTCCACACCGGCGCATTGCCAAGCTTGGTTAACCGTCCCCATGGCTTCTTTTGACGCTTTTAAAAGCTTCGCCGAAAGTTTCGATAGGGTTTTGGCATACTGAGTTTCTGCCTCGGACCTGAAATCAGAAGAAAATTCGTTTCAGAGCTAAATAGTTGCGATTGCTTACAGGTGCTGACGTTGGGTGAAAGGATCCTTAGCATGCAAACTAAAATTATTTTGTGCAGTGAAAAACCGATTTGGGGTCAATTAATGTCAATAAATTTTACTTGACATCTATTATTTGGGATATCATTTTATTTTATGCGACGAATGTTCATATTTTTAGCTTTGCAGCTCATATTTACATGGAAATGTTTTTGTTTTCCTTTTGGCACCATATACTTCATAGCTTCCCTCTATTAATAAGTTAAAGTTATCACTCATCGATTAAACTTCCTGTTCCTCCTATAAATCGTCGGTTAAATTAGGATTATTCAAGATCATGCCCCGCTCATCCAACACCTCGTGTTGAACTTTCCTGCTTGTTTCCTTTGAAATTCTTTGAAAACAACATATATTTATGTGAATATTGTCTACTTCACGATTTTAGTGACTACTTGATTTGGAATTTGAACGTTCTTTCATCAAGCATGAGGTGTGCTCAAGTCACTCTACTTATCGATGGCTAAAGTGCGACATTGCACATATCTCCATTGCAATGTTTCAAAATCTCCACTCCTAGTTTATCTTTTCAAAGAGGAAAAAGTCACCTTCGTACCTTGACATCTTTGCAGAATATTCTACTTACACAGAGAAAAAATCAAGGTAGCGTTCAAGAAATTACGTTGACTAGTTTTCCAAGGAAAAAATGAAGTATGACTGGACGTCTACAACGTCGCAAATGGAGATACGTGGTTTCGCACCTTAGCCATCGATATGTCGCAGGTATATAGCCACTTCCAGCAAATAGTCATCTGCAGCCGGATTGTTGAAACTTATTTAACTGGCTGTGCCGGCATAGTCTTATCTGCGCCGTGTAATATATCGATTTTCGATTCTTGTCGTGCCGACAAAAATTTCAACAATCGGGCTGCTGCCTAAGCAAATAATAATTGTTGTTTGCTTACACAGTCACAGTTTATTCCGATTCGCTTATCATTAATTTGCCTAGGCAGAGGATTATTTCCCGAAAACGGCTATATGCCTGTGACAGATATCGACGGTGAAACTACCAAACCACGTATCTCGTTTGCGGTGTTTAAAAATCTACGCTCACATTTTATTTTTTTGAAGTAGACCAAATAAATATCATTCCTTGAAATTTTCAATCACAGAAATTTTCAAGACTGGATGTTGAGTAGTTTTTCATTTAAAAAATAAAGTATGACAGGAAGTCTGCGACGTCGCAAACCGAGATACGTGGTTTGGTAGTTTCACCGTCTATATACAGTTGTGCTAAGGAAGAACGTCTTAGGTATGAACATTCGAGAGTTGCCGAATTTCCTTCGTTCGATAAAACATGTATTTTTGAGAAAAGTTACGAATATTTCTCCTTGAAATGTTCAGGGACTCAAGGTGAACTTTCGAATAAAATTATCTGAAAAATTGGAGGGAAAACATTCATGAGTTTACCAGGAAATTCGTGTTTTATCTTAGGAAATTTGACAATGCCTAAGGGCTCATACAGTGTTTTTACCTTAGCACGGCAGTGTACTGCATCCCAAATATACTTGAGACTATACGCGGTGACATAAAAAACTCGATATTGGAATGGTAAGCTGTACAAGAAATAGATACGATGGAGGTAACTCGATCTTCGACGTACTTCTCAGAAAGAACACGAAGCTTATGCTCTGATGGCTTCTAGTTTCACTCCTCCAAACATGTAAAACGACATTCAAATAATGACCTCTGAAATAGAAACCTGTATGAAACTCAGAGATTCAGCCATTTAAAGATTAATCCATTTTTTTTTCTATTTTTAAGTAAACGCTTGTTGTTGGGAACTGTTCAAGAGTGGGAATCGATGTTTTTTATCACGATTATCCTAATCTATTTTGTCGATGATTAAAATACGATGCTTAAACTTTCGATCTTCTAATGAACGCGCGCACATTGATTTTGCGGGTCGGATTTTGATAGGAGCATCGTCGTTCAATAAGTTCATACGATGAGTTGGTGATTGAACGGAAAATTCGCCTTCATTCTCACGTGATACTTTTCAGTACGTACCTATTAAATATCTGCTCCAAATGGTGACATGAAAAATGTTTTTTGATCCAATTGGCGACAAGTCTCACATTAGTCAAAAAACACTCACGGCGATAGATTCTAAAAATTACTGAATGCGCGGTCTATGATCCACTCCTTAAATATCACAATTCCTCAATTGAATAGATAGATGCTTATGAATACATTTAAATATTAAATAACTAATAACAATCTTATGCTCAACTTTTCGGTTTTATACCACGTACAGCGTGTTGCGGAGAAATAATCTCCGTTCATAGAAGATAATGCAAGTACATAAAATCCTTGTAATTCCCGTACGAGTTAGATATTAATAAATCTTACAATACTCTAAGGTAGGGTAGCTGGTTTTTTCTTACCTTTCTTGCAATATGGAGCTAAGATCTTTACAAAAATCACCTCCTTGCTTTATATATCGCTTCAGCTCTTCGAACCCGCTTTGACCCTGTTAACATAAGGAATAATCCACGTTAAAATCATCGGTCATTGTATAAATTTTAACGAAGTTTGTGGTAGAGCTCAAATGGATGTCATTGAGGTGATTCGATGCCTACCATACTTTGTGTCAGAACGATGTGCGATACATCGCATCGATTAGTTCCTTTTTTTCAGCTACTTGTCATTTTTATATAGTTTTGAGATAGCATTTCAGTTGTCACGAGACTACCGAATTCATTTTTCAAATTTGACGAGCAAATTTAGCGTGATAAAGGCAACACAGGCAGGGTTTCTGAGGAAAAACAACGCATTCAATACTGATATCGAACATGGCACTCGCATGCAATATTTTTCCTCTAAAAGAACCCTGCCTTTAATACGCTGAATTTGTTCGTCAAATTTTGCAAGCGAATTCCTCAGTCTCATGACAACAGAAATGCGATCTCAAAATTCGATAAATATGATAAGAAGCTGACAACATGTAACTGATCGATGCGATACATCGCGAGTCGTTCAGTTGCAAAATATGGCGGCCAGCGAATCACCTTAAATAGTACTTGATGGCGGTTAGTTAAAAAAAAGTGCCAAACTTCGAAAAGGAAAAAAATGAGTTAAAAAAAACAAGAGACCAAAAAAAAAATTGATTTCACCCAAAAATTTTCGGTGAATAAAAAATGACTTGAGCACATTTTATTCGGTTTTTAAATAGAGGACCAAAGTTAAAAAACGTAAAATTTTCGATGAATAAAAAATGATTTGAGCACATTTTATTCGGTTTTCAAATAGAGGACCAAAGCTTAAAAACGTAAAATTTTCGAGAGAGATAATTTTGCCGAGCGGGAAGATTGGGCCTCAGCTGTTCCCGAACGCGTCCGATTCTTGGTCAGTCGGGAAGGGGGGCGGGCAAACCAGTTGCCCGGCCACAATGAGGACGCTCGCTGACCAGGAGCGCTGGCCCCCCTTTGCCCCCCCCCCCGTTCTTTTTATCCCGAGGGCTTCGCGTGACCTAGGCCTCAGCTTTGCGCATCGACCACGATGCCGAATGTCGAAGAGTCATCCCACTGTGCCCTTCTTAGTTCCAGCAATCACATACGAAAAAATAAGTTTAGTTAACTACACTAAAAAAAAAACTCGGTGTATTTACTGAGAAAAGGGTAAAATTACCAAGAATTCAGGGTTCTCTTTGATCCCAGTTTTTTCTTGGTAAAATTACAATTTATGGAATTGGCAATTTTACCGAGAAATCTCGGTAAAATTATTGACTTTCTCGGTAATTTTACTGGACCTTGGTAAAACGCCAATATTTTTTATCGACTGTGGTAGAATTACCGAGATAAAATGGCAAAGTTACCGGGAATTAATTACCAATAAAAGTGGTATTCTTACCTGAAAAAAACAGTAAAAATACCGGTTTTTAGGTAAGCTTACCAGTCTGTCTTGATAAAATTACCAATAATTGGTAAAAAAGTGAGATGGTAAAGGTACCAACGGACCTTCGTAAAAACGCCGAGAATTATTTTTAGTGAGGATCTCCTCTCTCATTAGAGTTTGTTGTAGATTAGACCACGTTAGGCATAGGGCATGAGGACACTTTTTGACGAAACTGAGTTAATAAAATCACTGTTCTTCTTTTTTTCGGACAGGGGCGCTGCTGTTAGCCGCCCATTTATGTGAACAAAGTGGTACTAACAATGGATACACGATTATCATTTTTACGACAGGTATAATCAGACGTATTTCTGTTAAACGGAACTAAGCGCCAATTTGAGTTCCTTTTGAGGATTTTAAAATCCCGGATAGCGCGTTCTGTGAAACGGAACTAATATCCATGGAAAAGCATTGCGAGTATAGGACGGAACGAGCATCGCGTTCCGCAACACCCGTCAATCCAGGCCCCCCTCTCCCTCCCATCACCCTATGGTGCTTGATTCCGTTTGACAGAAATACGTCGAGTTGGTACTTCTATTATCATAATGTTAATAGTTTATTCAAAATATTGATTTTGTAATTATTCAAGGAGATGATTTTGTTTGAAATATCAGTAAAAAGATGATTATTTCCAATTCCCATGCTTCATCATGTTGGTACAAAGTTGGCACCGTGTCGGTGCCAACGTGGGTTGAAACGTACTATGTTGGTACAACAACAGGAACGCATCACGCTGGGAAAATAAGCGAATTTTATTTAATGTCCCGAACCTCTTTTGGAAGTTCTGCCCGGTTTTGTCTCATCCACCATCAACACTAGTAGGCACCGTTGCCAACAGATTCGACCAATCAGATCAGTTGGTTTTCGATAGATCGAACCTTTTTAGGACCACCTCACGAGGTGGTGCCAAAATCGCGCGCCAACGTTGCGATTTGTCGGTCACCGAATTGGAGGTTCCGAACACAAATGAAACGGCAGCTAGAGGGTTCGGGCGCAAAAGTAGCACCGAACCTCTAAATAAAATTCGCTTGATGTGGATAGTACCCTAGTACCATGTTCGCAACCGGTTTCGTAAGATACATTTATGAATCGTAAGAACTTCGGTATAGTAACTAATGTACATTGAAATGAGGTATTTTTTACTTAATAATGATGCTTGATTTAATATTGTCAATTATAATGCGGGTCGAGGCAAATACCTTTTCCGCCAACTCTAGACCCAAAACTGCATATCTACTTTACATGAGACAAAAAAAGGCACGTTCACTTTCTGCCGGAATGATTGATGTGCTTATCCAGGTTCTCAAATGATCGTAGCGGAGAATAAGGATGTGTCCAAAGTTCACGAGAATGAGATAATAAATGACAAACGGGGGAGACACGTACGTTTCTACCCGTGCGTTTAAGTCTCCGAGGTTGTGTACCCTCCTACCAGTGCAGTGGCGTGGCGTGAATGATCGATTATAGATAAGTCCTCATTTGTAGCTATGGTAAAGAATCGATTATTAAGGTGTTCGCTGCGAACACCCTGTTTATTGATCCTTTCCCATAGGTTCAAATGGCAGATCAATCGATACATCGCAAAGCACGCCACGTCACTGCCTTAGAGTGTGTCGCGAGTGCTTTATATGAGAATAGATGCAAATATTACTGGACGTGAGGAGAGCGATAAGCGAAAAAAATTGAAAGGGGCAAGGCGATGGCTCTCCGGCGGCTTGGATAAATTTCACAGAGCTCGCTCGGCGAGACGGACGATGGCCGAAACGGCGTGGAAATTATCGGATGGACTTGAGGCGCGCGTCGGGCGTCGAGGCTGTCCCTGAACGTCTCGGCGGCGGCGGCGGCTGTATTAATTAAAGCGGCGAATGTGTGACTTTTATCATCCTCGAGTGTTATTGCAGACACATCGGCACATCGGCACACGGGCACATCGGACGGACGGACATGGAACAGGACCGACGAGGCAATAAAGCCTCTGGAGATTGACGCGCTCGCGCTGGCACACAAGACACAAGAGCGCCACCGCACGGTGGATCGAGTCAACAGCAGAAGCGGATCCAGCAATTTGGCAACACCGGGTTTCCTCCATTTAAACCTATGTTAAATAATCGACTCTTGCCGGAGCACCTGGCCCCTCCAAGAATCGATGCATTTTTATAGGTTTAATTGGAGAAAAATCAATGTTGCCAATTTTCTGGATCCGCCAATGGTCAATAGGAGTGGTCGGACATAATTTGGAAACTTTAAACGCTTATACTGCCCAGCTAAGGAAAAACGCCGTATGAACATTCAAGAGTTGCCAAATTTCCTTCGAGAAAATGTTCATCTGGAGGAAAATTATGAATATTTTTCCTTGAAATTTTCAAATCCTCCAAATCAAATTGCGAGTGAAATCCTTTAAAAAATTGAAAGAAAAACAACAAACAGTTTCCTCGGAAACGTGTATTGTATCGAAGGCAATTTGGCAACGCCTGAAGACTCGTTCGGTGTACTTCCTTAGCACGGCAGTCTAACTCCGTCCACACAAAACTTTGAGGTTCTAAAAGTGGTTCTATTGGCCGAATCGTGAAATTTTCTACTAGAATCACCCCTTGAGATTTTAAACGTGACGAAACAAACATCAAAATTTGCAGTTACAGTCAAACATATTTTCATGTCCGACCTCTGGAATGGAGATGTTGCGTGTGTGAGGAATTTGCGATTTGACAGTTGATTCATACGTAAAAGTTCGCGAGAAACATGATGGTGCTACTGGTTTTCTCTGAAATCCACTCTCAAGCTGAAAAAAAGCTCTCAAGTTGAGGCCAAAATGGAGGGGATATCCCACGCTATCCTGAGAGTTCATCCTCTACATCAAAACAAACTCTTCATGCAAAGATAGGGAGCAAATACATTGACAGGGCTGCCACTTTATTTGGGGACTCCACAACTGAAAAATGCGGCAACCCTACTAATGTATTCGCTCCTTATCTTTGCATGGAGAGTTTGTTTTGATGTAGAGGTGGACTCTCAGGGTAGGGCGGGATATCCCCTCCATTTTGGCCTCAACTTAAGAGCTTTTTTTGAGCTTGGGAGTTGATTTTAGAGAAAACCAGTGGCACCATCGTGTTTCTCGCGAACTTTTGCAAAAGAATCAACAGTCAAATTTTAAATTCCTCACACATGCAACATCTCCATTGACTCGATCCACTGTGCGGCGCTTGGTTGGTGTGCTGCGGCTGCGACGAATTTCAAAAAAAGACGGAGCGTGGCCGCAGCGGCTCTCGCTCGGCAGAGAAGCTTGGAAGCGCCGCGCCGGGAGCCACTCGCTCGAAAAGTGAAAGTCGCTTTTTGAGCTCCAGACTCAAGCTCCGACTCCGAGATGAAGCTCAGACCCTACTCACTCCACTCGATAAATTTCCAATTTATTGAGCGCTGGAATCTTACTCGAGAGAACTCCGGATGACAGACTCATCATTTATATCGATAGACAAAGCGATAGCCAAAAAGGATGTAGCATCGTGTCCAAGTTATCGGACTCCATGCTCACCCTTGATGTAATTGCCTGCGGGCCGATTATTGAAATGTATGGACAAAGCT